CTGTGACTCCCTCTCTCTCTGGCCCTCCCCTGCTCACGCTGTCTCTCTCTCTCTCCTAGAAATAAACAAAACATTAAAAAAAAAAAAAAAGCAAGACTCATCAATATGCTGCCTATAAGAGACTCACTTCAGACCTAAAGATACATGCAGATTAAAAGTGATGGAAAAGTATTTATCATGCAAATGAAAGTGAAAAGAAAGTCAAGGTAGTAATACTTATACTGGACAAAATAGACTTTAAAACAGACTCTAACAAGAGATAAAGATATTACGTAATCATAAAGGGAACAATCAAACATGAAGATATTTGTAAATACCTTTGCACCCAACATGGAAGACCCATATATATAGCAGTTAATAACAAATACAAGAAAGTAATCGATAGTAATAGAATAATAGTAGGAGACTTAAACACCCCACTTACATCAATGGATAGATCATCCAAACAGAAAATCAGTAAGGAAACAGTGGCTTTGAATGACGTATTGGACCAGATAGATTTAACAGATATATTCAGAATATTCCATCCTAAAACAGTGGAATACAAATCCCTTTCAAGTGCACATGGAACATTTACCATAATAAATCACACATTAGGCCACAAAGCAAGTCTCATTAAATTCAGAAAGACTGAAGTCATTGCCATGCATCCTTTCTGATCACAATGCTATGAAATTAGAAATCAACCACAAGGAAAATCTGGAAGGAACACAAACACATGGAGTTTAAGCAAAATGCTACTAAACAATGACTGGGTCAACCTAGAAATCAAAGAGGAAATTAAAAAATACATGGAGAGAAATGAAAAATGAAAACATAACAGTCCAAAATTTTTGATAAGCAGCAAAAGCTATTCTAAGAGGGCAGTTTATAGCAATAGAAGCCTTCTCCAAGAAGATAGAAAAAACTCAAACAACTTAATCATACGCATAAAGGAGCTAGAAAAAGAACAAAGCCCAAAACCAGTAGAAAGAAGGAAATAAAGATTAGAGCAGAAATAAATGAAATAGAAACTAAAAAACAATAGAACAGATTAATGAAGTCAGGAGCTGGTTCTTTGAAAAGATCAACAAAATTGATCAATCTTTGGCCAGACTCATCATAAATAAAAAATAAAATAAAGAGACAGAGAAGGAGAGGGAGAGAGAGAGTTGGGGGGGGAGGAGGAGGAGGAGGAGGAGGAGGAGGAGGGAGAGAGAGGGAGGGAGGGAGGGAGGGAGAAAGGACACAAACAAAATCAGAAATGAAAGAGGAGAATAACCACAGAAATAAAAAGGATTGTAGGAGAATATCTTGAAAACTCATATACCAACAGATTAGAGAACCTAGAAGAAATGGAAGCATTCCTAGAAATATATGACTTCCTACAACGAAATCAGGAAGAAATAGAAATTTTGAGCAGATTGATTACCAGCAATGCACTTGAATCAGCAATCAAAAGCTCCCAACAAACATCTGGTCCAGGACCAGATGGCTTCACAAGTAAATTCTATCAAACATGCAAAGAAAAGTTAATACCTATTCTTCTCAAACTATTCCAAAAAAATAGAAAAAGAAGGAAAGCTTCCCAATTCATTCTATGAGGCCAGTATCACCCTGATACCAAAACCAAATAAAGACACTATAAAAAAAGGAAGCTACAGATCAGTATCTCTGATGAAGAGAGATGCAGGAATCTTCAACAAAACATCAGCAAACTGGACCCAAGAGTACATTAAAAAATGATTCACCAGGATCAAGTGGGATTTATTGCTGGGATGCAAATGTGGTTCAATATTTGCAAATAAATTAACATGATATACCACATCAACAAAGGAATGGAGAAAAACGATATGATCATATAATCATTTCAATAGATGCAGAAAAAGCATTCGACAAAGTGCAGTATCCATTCATGATCAAAATCCTCAACGAAGGTGTGAAGGGAACATAAGGTAAGGAAAAAGCAAAAATGTCACTATTTGCAGATGGCGTGATACTCCATATAAAACCCCTGAAGAATCCACCAAAAAACTACTAAAACTGATAAATGGATTAAGTTTGCAGGATACAAAATCAGTATACAACCCATTGCATTTCTATACACCAATAATGAAGTAGCAGAAAGAGAAATTAAGAAAACAATCCCATTTACAACTGCACCAAAAATAATAAAATACCTAGGAAAAAACTCAACCATGGAGGTGAAAGACCTGGATTATAAAACACCAATGAAAGAAACTGAAGATGACAGAAACAAATGGAAAGATATTCCACACTCATGGACTGGGAGAAATATTGTTAAAATGTCCATACTACCCATAGCAATCCACAGATTTAATGCAATTCTTATCAAAATACCAACAGCATTTTTCACAGAGCTAGAATTAAACAATCCTAAAATTTGTATGGAACCACAAGAGATCCTGCATAGCCAAAGCAATCATAAAAAGAAATGGAGGTATCACAATCACAGATTTCAAGATATACTACAAAGATATACTACTAGATCTTGAAATCACAGATTTCATACACTATAAGATATACTACTAATAACTACTGTTTTGTAGTAATCAAAACGGTATGGTACTGGCACAGAAATAGACATATAGACCATCAGAACAGAGAGACCAGAAATTAATACACAATTATATGGTCAATGAACCTTTGACAAGGGAAGCAAGAATATGTAAAAGACAGTCTTTTCAATAAATGGCGGTAGGAAAACTGAACATCTACATGCAAAAGAATGAAACTGGACCACTTTCTTACACCTTAGACAAAAATAAACTCAAAATACATTACAGACCTAATGTAAAACCTGAAACCATAAAAATCCTAGAAGAGAGCACAGGCAGTAATTTCTCTGACATCAGCACCTGAGGCAAGGGAAACAAAGCCAAAGTAAACTATTGGGACTACATCAAAATAAAAAGCTTCCACAAAGTAAATGAAACAATCAACAAAACTGAAAGACAGCCTAATGAAGAGAAGGAGATATTTGCAAATGACATATTCAATGGAGGCTTAGCATCCAAAAATATAAAGAACTTCTACAACTCAACAATAAAAAAAAAAACCCCAAGTAATCCAATATAAAAATGGGTAAAAGACATGAACAGACATTTCTCCAAAGACATACAGATGGCCAACAGACACATCAAATGATGCTCAACATCACCCATCATTAGGGAAATGCAAACCAAAACCATGAGTGGGGTACCTGGGTGACTCAGTCAGTTGAGCATCTGACTCTTCATTTCAGGTCATGACAGTTTGTGGGGTCAAGCCCCTCCTCAAGTTGTGCACTGGCAGCGCAGAGTCTGCTTGGGATTCCCTATCTCCCTCTCTACCATCCCCCCACTTGTGCTCACTCCCTCTCAAAATAAATAAGCATAAACCCCCACCCCCCCAAACCATGAGATATCACTTCACACCAGTCAGAATAGCTAAAATAAAAAACTCAACAAACAACAACTATTGGCAAGGATGTGGAGAAAAAGGAACACTTGGGCACTGTTGGTAAGAATGCAAACTGGTGCAGCCGCTGTGGAAAACAGTATGGAGATTCCTCAAAAAATTAAAAATAGAACTACTGTGCAATCCAGCAATTGCACTACTGGATATTTGCCCAAAGAATATGAAAATGCTAATTCAGAGTGATATATCTATATCTATATCTCTCTCTATATATATCTATATATTTATATCTATCTCCTATGTTTATTGCAGCATTATTAAACAATAACCAAGATATGGAAGCAACCAAAGAGCCCGTGGATAGATAAATGGATTTAGAAGATGAAGTATATATGTACAATGGAATGTTACTCAGTCATTAAAATGAATGAGATCTTTCCATTTGTGGCAAGGTGGATGGACCTAGACTATATAATGCTAAGTGAAATAAGTCAGAGAAAGACAAATACCATAACATTTCACTCTTACGTGGCATTTAAGAAAAAGAAAAAAAGAAAAAAGAGAGAGATGTCACCCCCCCCCCCCGACTCTTAAATAACAGAGAACAAACTGTTAGTTGCTAGAATGGGTGTAGGATGAGTGAGGTAAATGAAGGGGATTAAGAGTATACTTATTGGGATGAGCATTGAGTAATGGATAGCATTGCTGAATGATTAAATTGTACACCCAAAACTAATATAACACTGTATGTTAATTATACGTGAATAAAAAATAAATAAAACTCCAAAGTCGATTCATGGTAATTTACTCATAAACTCTGGGAAGCAAGTCCATGAACCCCATATGAAGACAAATGAGTTGCTGAAACAACTTTACAAATTTGACATGTGAACAACTGTATGGCAAAAATGGAGAGGAGGAGAGTGAAATTTATTGAGGCTTTTTCAGTGAGGATTTAATATTTTTTGAAAAGAAAGGAATGTAATTTTATCGATTTTTCAGAATTTTCTACTGAATGTTCTATTTGGTTATCAGCTATTATTATACTGTCACAAATCACATAATCTTTATTCACTGTATAATCATCACTAGCAACATCTTATGAAGAAAATAGAATTGCATATATACTTACTAGTTCTTTTTCCCTTCATATTTCTCTATACCCACACGTTAAAAGTTACTTTTGATATCAATGCTTCTAAAAAAAATAGAATGTTCTATTTTTAAGTAACCAACTCTATATATACATGTTTATCATTAATTACTGATTATAAATTTTATAAAGGTAGTAAATATCTCTTTACCAGCTCTCATTTCCTCTACTCCCTCCCCATCTCTGCAATCTCTGTGCATTTATCTTAATCTTCATAGGAATTTAACAGAATAAGAGATATAAAAAGAACCATGGAGAGCATCATCCCATCTCTACCTTAGAAATAAGAAAACTGAGCCCCCCCCCCACCCAAGGATTTCCCCATGATTACATGTTACTTGCATCTAGAGTCTTGCTCTCTGTATACACATGCACACACTCTGTATTATGGTTTGTATATACCGGTATTCCAATAAAAGAAAGAAGAATGAATATGTTGACTCTTTACCAAGTTGCTACAAAATCTTGAAAAGTCTCTTGCCATTTGAGAAATGGAATTGTTCATTAAATTCTGCTCCTGCTTTTGTGCTATAAAAAAAAAGAAAAAAATAACTGCCCACAATGTTTAGTTTAAAAAAATTAATCAAAATAAGGCACATGTCTAGTTTTAAAAGTCAAATACTATGGGGCACCTGACTGGTTCAGTCGGTTAAGTGTCTGATTTTGATACAGGTCATGTTCTCCCAGTTTGTGAGTTTGAGCCCCTCGTCAGGCTCTCTACTGTCAGCAGAGTCTGCTTCACATCCTCTGTCCCCCCTCTCTGCCCCTTTCTGGCTGATTCTCTCTCTCAAAATAAATAAAGAAACTTAAAAAAAAAAAAGTCAAATACTATTATAAGGATTATAACAAAAACCAGAAGTCAGGTGTTTCCAATGCAGTGCCCACCACTCTGTTTGACTCCTTAGAATCAACAACTTTTTAAACTCATCTTAACTTTTTCTTCTTCTATTTTCTTAAAAATGCTTATATGGCTATTTCTTGACTTGGCATTTTAAGACATTTTCTATTTTCTTCCAGATATAGAAGGAAGCACACATACTCTCATCCCTACACCCCCCACACATACTTCTAACCTCTCCATAAAGTCATGTGTTTTTAAAATATATTTTAATGGTATTTTTAAAAAAGATTTTATTTTTGAGTAATCTTTACACCCAACATGCGGCTCGATCAAGAATCTTAGATCAAGAGTCACATTCTCTACCAACTAAGCCAGTCGGGTGTCCCTAATTTTAACTCTTTGGATCATTACGACAATGTAAACATTCACAGATGAGACAAATGGTGTAGTATGATTATACCTCCTCTCCTGTACAACTTTTTGTTTTTCCTGGAGCTAAAAATAGCCTCATTTTATATTTGCTTAGTGTTCCATGAATACATTACTTCATATCAAAATGTATAATAGAATTATAAAATCTTTCCAAATATTACATCCCGCGTGGTCAGACACCTTGGGTGATCTACCAGTTTCATATCTCTTCCCTCCCCCACTGCCTTCTGTTTTCTGAACACTTGGGACTTTCCTCTGCATTCACCTTATGTTGGACCTCCTATTTCCTGAATTTCTTTCTTAATTTATCCCAAACAAATTCTGTACTGGCTTCCTGAGACAGAGTAAATGAGATACTTTGAGATCTTATATACCTAAATGTGTCTCTATTCTCTATATATACTTGACTAATAGTTTGGATGGATATCTAATGTTAGATATTATTTTCTCTCAGAATTCTGAAGGCAATGTCTTCTTTTAGTATAATAGTACACTTAAGAAGCCTAAAACCATTCTGATCGCTAATCTTTTGTATGCGATCTGCTTTTTCTCTCTAAAAGCCTTTGAAATATTCCTTTTAGCCTGAAATCCCACAGTGATGTGACTTACTGCTTTTTCTTCTAGAAATTGCACTGGAGAATTTGATGGGCCTTTTAAAATAGGAAACTCATATTCTCCAATTCTAAGAAATATTTTTGTATTATTTCTTGGATAATTTTATCCTTTCCATTTTTTTTTTTTTTCTGGCCTTCCTAGCGAATATTCAACATCTCAGAATAGTCTTCTAATTTTTTTACTCTTTTATCCTGTTCCTCAACTCCTTATTTTTTGTTCTATTTTTGGAGCGATTTCCTTTTGTTAGAATCCTATTAAATTTAAAAATTTTGGTTATTAGGGGTGCCTGAATGGTTCAGTCTGTTAAGCGTCTGACGTTGGCTCAGGTCATGATCTCACTGCTCCTGAGTTCAAGCCCTGTGTCAGGGCTGTGTCTCCCTCTCTCTCCTGCTCATGCTCTCTCTCCCCCTCCTTCCCTCCTTCTCTCTCTCTTAAAAATAATCAAGGGGCACCTGGGTGGCTCAGTTGGTTGAGTGTCTGACACTCAACCAACTCACAGTTCTCACAGTTCGTGGGTTCATGGGTTCGTGAGTTCGAGCCCCCGTGTGGGGCTCTGTGCTGACAGCTCAGAGCCTTGAAGCCTGTTTTCAGATTCTGTGTCTACCTCTTTCTCTGACCCTCCCCTGCTCAAAATGTCTCTCAAAAAATAAATAAAACATTTAAAAAATTAATAAACAAAATTTTTTAATAAAATTTTGGTTGTTATATTTTTCACTTCTTTTAATTTTTTTAATGTTTTATTTATCTCTAGGAGAGAGAGAGAGACAGCGTGAGCAGGGGAGGGTCAGAGAGAGAGGGAGTCACAGACTGAAAGAGGCTCCAGGCTCTGAGCTGGCAGTCAGCACAGAGCCCGGCGCGGGGCTCGAACCCATGAACCGCGAGATCATGACCTAAGCGAAGGTCAGACGCTTAACCGACTAAGCCACCCAGACGCCCCTATTTTTCATTTCTAAGAGCTCTTTCTTGTTTTCTGTTCTTTTTCATACATGCAGTGTATTTTTTCTCTATGAGTATAACTTTAAGATATATTCTCTATAATATATAGAATGTATATTTTTAATAGACTATATATACATTATGCATAATATATAGAGAATATATATTCCCTAAGAATATATATCTTTAAAAGTATTCTTATATTCTTTGTGTTATCTATGTTTCCACCAACTTCTGTTTTTCTGTCTACTTTAGTTTCTGCCTTTCACATTGGAGTTTTTCCTGAGGCGTCTGGTGATCTTTGACTGTCTAATCCTATTTAAGCATGAGGCACTAAAAGGCTCAGTTCCTGGGTGGGCTTTACTGTATAGTGATCAGGAAGGGACCAGCCATTTTGTTGGAGGATCTTCAAATGTTTAGATTGTGTGGGGCTTTTCTCTGGAACTGTTTAGTTTCCTTAGAGAAGAATCCAACCATCTCCTTCTTGAGAGTGGGGAAGGGATTACAGAACAGTCACACACAACGAGCTGGCAGCCTTCATCAAGTTCAGCTGTGGAAGGGGGTCTCTGTATAGCAGAGACCTCTGTCTTCTGTCCTCTGTCATATCTGAGATCCTGTAGTTTAGAATCCCTTAGTCCAACTTCTCTGCCAGCATTGCGAGGAACAGTCCCTCAGCTGCACAGAAGATGGCATCTGACCTAGGGGTCTAACTGCTTGTTATAAAGATTTTCAACCAATCTTCAACCCTGTGACTCATCTCAGCTTCCCAGTATCAGGGTCCTCCAATGTCCAAGACTTGCTGGGCCGGGCCCTATAAAGAGAACGCCTTGCTTTCATGGTGTGCTTTTCTGCAGGCACTTGCTAGTCACATTTCCCTTCCTGTTAATACCTCTAGCCAATTCTACCTTTTAGAGATTTATTGATATTTATCTTCTGCAGACATCTCTCTGCCAGTCTCTGTACTTGACTTGTAGTCATTTTTTTTCCCTAAAAAATCTTTTACACACATTTTTATGAAATTTCACTAGGGAGCAAAGATAGAGGCATGTTTTACCCATCATATTTAACTGAAAGTCATAAGTCACAACATTGCTTTGTATGAGTCCTGAGCCAGTTAATACTCTAAGTCCCACTGCTGGCAGGTGAAGTATATTTTCCTACTCTCTGGAGAGCATTGCTATTATGTTCCCTTTTCTACCTTTCTCTTGGCTTTCTCTCTTTTCTCTATGTTCTTTAGTGTTTTCTCTTTTCTTTGTCTTAAGAGAATCAGCACTTGCAATATATGGAAATATATTGCTTATTTTCAAACTTATGTTTCTTATATCCTCCATCTTCATGTAAGAAGGGATGGAAAGAAGGTTGGGAGAATAGAAAATTGAGGATGGAGCACATATGTTTCATTACTCTTCATAAAAGTAGCAAAAGACCAAGAAAATCTATGAGTTGACTAAATGAGAATCTGAGGAATGGCAACCAGACGAATCATCCGAGGTACTCATAATCTTATATTCTCAAAAAACCACTTTCCTTGGCAATTACCACTATTCACTTTTATTTTTGAGAGAGTATATGCGTGTGTGTGCATGCTCACAAGCAGGAGAGAGGGAGAGGGGGAGAGAGAATCTCAAGCAGGCTCCATGCTCCGCACTCAGCCCCACTTGGGGCTCTGTCTCATGACCGTGAGATCATGACCTGGGCTAATGTCAAGAGTCAGACACTTATAGTCAGAGAAAGACAAATATCATATGACTTCACTCATATGAGGACTTTAAGATACAAAACAGATGAACATAAGGGAAGGGAAGCAAAAATAATATAAAAACAGGGAGGGGGACAAAACATAAGAGACTCTCAAATACGGAGGGTCAGGGCCATTAAGGAATCTACTTCTGAAATCATTGTTGCACTATATGATAACTTGGATGTAAATTTTAAAAAATAATAAAATTTTTTAAAAAAAGTCAAACTCTTAACCAACTGAGCCAGCCAGGTGGCCCCACCACTATTCACTTTTAAATATCTGTTTTACATTTCAACATATTGGGTTTCTATATGATTGTATCTTTTTGACACAGACTATTTTGATTTTTCTCCCCATATTCATCTTTGCCAGCTGTTTATTCCCATCACAGTGCACACTTTTTGGCTCCCATTCTAGTCCTTTCTGTAACTTTTGATCCTGGCCTTCTGGTTCCTGTGTTACTTCTTCCATCATAGAGAAAACAGAAATTCTGGAAGTCTTTCTGCTTAACAACCATTTGGGACTTGTTGGTTAATGATACTCTGCTCCCCAAATGCAAGACAAAGCTCACACTCCAGGGATGATTCTGGATCTATGGACTTTTGGGTGCAGAGTTAGACAACTACATCCTGTTTTTCTGGAGAAAATAAGCATTTTTATATTAAACACACTTGTCCATGTAGCAAAATGTAAAATATGCATCCTTTCAGACACATTTCACACCCTTTATAAAGCCTCCATATCTAAGACAAACTCTTATATATCTTTGCCTTAGGGGTGAGTTAGTAGGAAAAAAATCTGAGAAGTACCTACATGATAAATGGTTAAAGTCATAGCTGGAACAAGATAGAATATTCAAATTCATGTTAAGAAACAGGAAAAAAATTCCACATGGTAGCAGATAAAGGAACTATTTCTACCTTTACCAAGTATAGAGAGAAACACATTACATAGTTGCTACTAACTCTTAATTTTAAAGTCTTTAAAAGAGAAAAGGAAAAATTTGACCAGAGCAACACCAAGGCTGTGGTATAAAGGAGAAGAAAAATTAGTAGATGAGGCAATAACTAGAGAAGAAACAGTTAAAGTTGATGGGAAAAGCGTATAGAATTTCAACATTGGCTCGTGATTGATGACCCACTATGTGTTAGGAGACAGCAGTGAAATCCTTACCTGGGCTTAACGTCAATTACTGAGAGCTTCATACATACCTGTAATAAAATTAATGAGCTCTTCAAATTTTCCAGTTTTGTTCACATACTCATCTTCTGCCACTTGAAGTTGTGGAAGACACTCAACTAGTTCATCTTCCTGTATTTTGTTACTTTGTGTTTCGGCAGCAAATCTTTGCTTTAAAGAAAATAAAGCTAATCATGAAGCAGGATTTTAAGGAATTGACGCAATGTACACTCCAGAGTAGAATATAAGTTCTTTGAGAGGAAGAGCCCTATGTTAGTGTCCTCTTATCATGAGGTGCATAGAAAGGCATCTGCCACATACTGGGTATTTGAAAAATATTTGTGGGCTGATTCACAGAGTGAATAGATCTGGCTATCTATTAAATAAGGAGATTAGATTCAATAGTCTCTCCAAAGAACCCTTCAGTTCTCTAGCTCTACTTCTATGATTCCATTAATGCTACCAAATATGTACCCTAAACACCTATTTGAGAAAAATCTCTTGAGCATATTGGACAGAAAAAAAAAAAAAAACAAAAACAAAACCAGGCAGCAATGGGGTGCACGGGTGGCTCAGTTGGTTAAGTGATGTCACAGTTTGTGAGTTCAACCCTGTGTTGGGCTTTGCACTGGCAGTGTGGAACCTGCTTAGGATTCTCTTTCTTCCTCTCTTTGCCCCTCCCTCTTCTTCTCCCTCTCTCTCTCAAAAAAAAAAAAAAAGGCAGCATAACAGAATATACACAAGTCCTAAGAAATGTGGATTTAAGTAAGAAATGGGGAGGGGGTAGAAATAATTGGATATATTATTACAATAAATGGGCAAAAGGTCCCCAAAACAAAACATGAAGATGCCTGCTTAATTATCCAGGTTTTATTTAGTTGGACCTTTCTTAGAAAGTCAGGATGGGGTTAAAATGGTGATAAAGCAGAGACAGCCAGCTGATATTTACTATCCATTCTCCTATCCTTCAATGTCATGACTCCTCAGTTCTAGCTCAGCATACGGCTGCCAGCTGGACTCATTTCTCAGCTCTCCCTGCAAGTGGGGGGAGCTAATGCAGTCCTCCACCTGCAACAGGAAGCGGTATGTGTGCCCTGGGTCCTTCCCTCCTTCCCCTGGCTGGAAAAGAAGGAGAATGGAAACTGCCACTTGGGTCTGCAGAGGTTAGTCTGGTGCTGAGGATGGCAGTTGCCCTTCCAACCCTGGGCCCCTTCCCTTTGGCCTGTAATAGGAAAGAGAAATAAACATGTCTCTCAACTAGACACTCAGACTCTAAGATTTGAATAGTCCATCCATACTTGACCCAATTTAATTTTTTTTTTACAGTTTATTGTCAAATTAGTTTCCACATAACACCCAGTGCTCATCCCCACAAGTGTCCTCCTCCATGCCCATCCCCCCCCCCCACATCCATCAGTCCTCAGTTTTTGTCAGCATTCAAGAGTCTCTCATGGTTTGCCTCTCTCCCTTTCCCCCACCATTTCCCCCCTTCTTCTCCCCCTTGTTCCTCCTAATCCTCCTATAAGTGGAAGCATATGGTATCTGTCTTTCTCTGCCTGACTTATTTCACTCAGCATAACACCCTCAAGGTCCATCCACGTTGCTGCAAATAGCCAGATTTCATTCTTTCTCATTGCCATGTAGTATTCCATGGTATAGATGAACCACATCCTCTTAATCCATTGGTCAGTTGATGGCCACTTAGGCCCTTTCCATGATTTGGCTATCATTGAGAGTGATGCTGTGAACATTGGGGTACATGTGCTCCTATGCATCAGCACTTCTATATCACTTGGGTAAATTCCTAGCAGTGCAATTGCTGGGTCATAGGGGAGTTCTACTGTTAATTTTCTGAGGAACCTCCACACTGTTTTCCAGAGGGGCTGCACCAGTTTACTTCCCACCAACATTGTAGGAGGGTGCCCGTTTCTCCACATCCTCGCCAGCATCTAGAGTCCTCTGATTTTCTCATTTTAGCCACTCTGATTGGTGTGAGGTGGTATCTCAGTGTGGTTTTGATTTGTATTTCCCTGATGAGGAGGGATGCTGAGCATCATTTCATGTGTCTGTTGGCCATCTGGATGTCCTCTTTGGAGAGGTGTCTGTTCCTATCTTCTGCCCATTTCTTCACTGGATTGTTTGTTTTTCAGGTGTGGAGTTTGGTGAGTTCCTTATAGATTTTAGATATTAACCCTTTATCTGATATGTCATTTGCAACTATCTTTTCCCATTCCGTTGGTTGCCTATTAGTTTTGTGGGCTGTTTCCTTTGTCTTAACAACTTTTTTGCTTTTTATCTTTATCCAGGTTGCATACATACATAATGCGAAGGAAAACCTAGGTGCCAGAGGGCAATGCTAGGCATGCTTCCTCAGTGGGAGGTACCTCATAGCACAGCTGACCAGAGGCTAGTGTCCGTTGACCCCACCACAGTGGTAACTCAGATGCAAGAGGAAGATACCCACATGGGTGGGTGTGATAGGCTCTTTGGCCTTGAAGTCTCATGTTCAAATAGGAACCAACTTCTCATGGGTGTATGTTCCAGGTCCCTGGAAGGGATATACCTACTTAGAAGGGGCACCAAACCCAGGGAAACCCAATGCTCTAGTTTTCCACCAGTTATTCTCTCAGTCAAGATGCATCATACCAGTCATGGGTCACTGTTTGCAAGCAATGTTGCCTAATAATACAACTTTAGTTGTCTACCTTTACTAGGGTGTAGGGGAATGACCCAGAAAGTTAAGCCAAGGTCAATTTCCCAATAAAGAAGAGAGGGTTGGTAACCCTTTATTACACAGATCTTGCCTATGTTCACTGTATTTTGGCATCTCTTTCATAAAGCAGCTTGTCTGCACCCTAGTTAATAGAGAGATATGCCAGCCTGGTATGTCCCCTCCCAAATTGCCATGAGAATCTTCAGGGATAAACATAGAAAGACAAAAAATACACATCAAAACACCATAATTTAAACATATTAAAATGTGGAGCCATGAGTAATTTTCTCCACACTGCATGTTAAGAAACTCAACCATGTATTATCTATACCACGTTCTCTAAGACAACAGTTTGGGGGTCCAAGGAGGTATGTGGATGCCTTGATTTGTTCCCATTGCCTACACTGACTTAAGCTGCCAGCATTTCCCTGACAAGGAACCATACTGTTATTTCATGCTTTGAGGGAGGGTTTGGGTACCAGATGCTGCTGCATCTCGGGCAAGTTGGTGTCTGTCTCCTGGCTCAGGCAGGCAGGCCCACAGCTTCTTCAACGCCTTTAAGAGTCCCTGATTCCTGAGCCACATGCACACTTAGCTCAGGGATAATGGGCTCAGGCTTTTGCTGCAACCCCTTGGAACTGGAGCCTTGGAAAAGAGAAAGACTGACGCAGGTCCCATCCCTGCTCATCAGGATGAGTTCCAGCTCATCCTATGACTTCCTGTCCATCTCTCCTTCCCAACTGCCTGTCCTGCAGCCTTCAGGCCCCAGCTCCAGGTGGAAAGCTGACAGCCTCTCTCGACTGCTGTAACCAGCTCCCGTAACTGCAGAAGGTCAAATCCTTTAAGAAACCCCATTTTCTGGTGGCTCTGCTTCTCTGACTGAGCCCTGTCAGATATAGGTCTGTAGGACGCAGCAGATCCAATTCATGCTCAATGTGTCAGCACTAGGTCAGAATGATCTAGAAGACTGTGGCAAGCTCCAGTAGGAGAACTGTAGCCGAGGCCCCCAGGTATTGAAGCCAAGTCTAGAGAGGACTTAGTCACAGCACTGCCTGGGAGAAAACACCTCTAGAGATTTGGAAATTTATATTCTGAACCAGTGACTAATATTCAGGACTGTTTTCCTCAGACAAAAATATGGGTCAGGGGTCCAAGTGGTAGTGGGATTTAATTTACTATTAAATCTCATGATTTTGTTTTCCCTCCTTGTGAATTTGGACTCTTCATTTAGACATTGTGCCACTGGTGAGAAGAATGATTCTACCAAGGGAATAATAATGGTTCCATAAACCAAAATTGGAGAATGCTTCTTCCCCATTTTGGGCCCCTCATGCCATTGAACCAATTGCAGAAATGGGATTCCAATATGCTCCAGGTTATTGATGAGGACTACCAAGGGGAATAGGGGTTGTTGCTTTATGATAAGGGCACATAGGCTGCTATCTATCCATGCCTTTGTGTGAATTAGACACAGGTGGACACAGCTCTGCAGCGGACACGCAGCCCTGTAAGTGGGGTGGACACTGGAAGACTGTTTACTTATCTTACTTAATTGCATTGTTTAAGCTCAAGTGCAATATTACGTAGTGTCCTTATCCTATTTCTGACTTTATTGCCTCCATTGGTTTGCCATCAAGTATGATAGTAAACTCTGTCCGTTCTCTTTCAAGAAATACCTGAAATGCTGACCACCTACTTCTAACCACCTCTGGATCAAGCTTCTGAACCACTTGAAATACCGCTCTTGCTTTTCTTTTGCTTTTTTTTTTTAATGTTTTATTTCTGAGAGAGAGAGAGAGAGAGAGAGAGAGAGCGAGCATGAGCAGGGGAGGATCAGAGAGAGGGAGACACAGAACCTGAAACAGTCTCCAGTCCCTGAGCTGGCAGCACAGGGCCAGACATGGGGCTCAAACCCACAAACCACGAGATCGCGACTTGAGCCGAAGTTGGACGCTCAACCGACTGAGCCACCCAGGCGCCCCTGCTCTCACTTCTTAATTGGTCTTCCTGCACCCACCATTGCTCTCCTAAATTCTACTCAGCTAGAGTGATCCTATTTAAGTGAAAATCAGATTATTTCAGCCCTTCACTCTTATCAGGAACCTTACCTTCTCAGCCCAGGCAGAGCAAAAACAAAGTACTCACAATCGCCTATAAGGTGGCAGACCCAGGGACGCCCCTTTTGGATTCACTCACTGCCTTGTGGCAAGGGGAGTGGTCAGCTGCCAGCCTCCAGTGGCCGGCTCCTTCAGAGCCTTCTCAGTTATCTATTGAAGATCATGCTCTTCAGGGGGGGGGGTCCCCCAATCAACTGAGCAAGGAGGTAGTGCAAGGGTGTAGCCATTTCTGCCCAAGGCAAGGCTTTGCTACTGGACAATCCTTGCTCAGAAGCTCCCCAGAGATAGTTTGCGGGTTACATAATGGCCTGATGGCTTCCCCTGCGCGGTTCTTTCATAGGCATATCCCTAATAAACCTCCCGTACACCTCATTGTCTCAGCATCTCTTTCCAGAAGAAGATGGGTCGCTCTCCCTCCTATCTGCTCCAGCCACACTGCCTCCTTGCTATTCCTCAGATAGGACAGTCCTGCCTCTCTGCCTTTCCTGTTTGGCGCACCCTCTGCCCTTCAGGATTCTACCCTTCCTTCTCTGACGATCCTCTTTAATGGGGCACACAGCCCGCATCACATACACTTGCCCCATCCCGAGTCCCTGCTCTATTTTTCTCCGTAGCGTTTCTCACTTTTGGATATACTAAAGGTTCCACTTGTTTACCTTGTTTATTTTCAATCTCCCTCCACTAGGATATAAGCACCATAAGTGCACAGGGTTTTGTTTTTGTTTTTTTGTCTGTTTCTTCTTTTTGTTTTTCAGCATCTAGAAGAATACTAGGCACCCAGACAGATGGCATCCAACAGAAAAAGGCTTCCCACCCTGACCCCTTTCCCTTCTGTTTCTTCTCATTTTGTCTGAATTTGGGCAATGTTTTCTTTCCCTTGTTTGTTCCCTGAGTTGTGCCAGTTTCCATTTCACCTCTTCCCAGTTCTGGCCGTTCCCTTTGGACACTCTTGCCTGAGTTCCTGTATTTCTATACTGCTGATCTTCCTTGGCACCTGTACGAAACTACAATATATATAGATTTTAATTTACAGAGGGATGCTTGACCACAGTCTTCATCTGTTCCAACACCATCATTCTGAGTATTCTTCAGTTGTCGGAAAGTTTTATTTCCCCTTTCATGTATTTTTTAATAGATTTTTAAAAGTATTTTTATTATTTTTTATGAATACTTTTTAAAAATTTTATTTATTTTAGAGAGAGAGGGAGAGGGTCAGTGGGGGTTTGGGGGGAGGCGGAGAGAGAGAAGGAGAGAGAGAGAATTCCAAGCAGGCCTCACACTGTCAGCACAGAGCCTCACTCAGGGCTCGAACCCACCACTAGGAGATGATGACCTGAGCTGAAATCAAGAGTCAGTCATTTAATCAACTGAGCCACCCAGCGCCCACCCACTTGTTTCTCTCCTGGTATTTTTGTGTGGAGGACATCGCTGCTCCTTTTCTGTTATTCATATTAGAAAGACCTGGCTCTTCTAGGACCAGTTATCTGTGGATGGGTTTCCGCAGGATGGGGGTTGGGGGGCGGGTTTGTGCCAGGAGGCATGGGCTTGGCCCAGGGCAAGATCTGAACTTTGACAAGTAAGGACTCGCTGCTCCCCTGCTACACAAAGGACTACTGTCTTCAAATAAAGCCCCTCTTTGATGCAGCCTTTCAGCTTCAAAACAAGTTCATGAAGGCTTCTACCACCAACCCTTTTCTCTTCATTCCAATACCAATGGAGGGCTCCAGGAAACACCCCCTTACCTGTCAAGGTAGCATCAGCACCTTGAAGAGGTGTGTTTTCTGTTGTGTTTCCAGAGGGCTGCCATCTCCAGACCCTTGGGTACTTTCAGTGACTTTTCTCTCCACCTCTCCCAGCATCCATGCTCTGTTCCATCCTAGGGGGCTAGGGCAGCTCCCAGCTCAGCAGGACGCCCTATCTTTGGTGAGGATTGAGCGCGGCCTCTCCACCTCCCTTGCCCTTTGCTGCTTTCCCCAGCCACTTTGGCGCCAGCTCTGCCTGCCTTCCTGCACCCCTTCCCTCATCCCCATGCGCTTTGCCAGCACTTCTACATAATTTGGAGTGTCTAATTTTCTTTTTTTTAAGTGGAAAAAAAATTTATGTTGCTCTTTTTTCAGGAACAAAAGAGTCATAAGGAAACTGTGGCCTTGCTCACACTGGAGGTTTTGCATTTAACTGCTTAGAATAGCATGAAATAAGGGCACCTGGGTGGCTCAGTCAGTTAGACCTCTGTCTTCAGTTCAGATTATGATCTCATGGCTTGTGAGTTTGAGCCTGGCATTGGGCTCAGTGCTGACAGCTCAGAGCCTGGAGCCTGCTTTGGATTCTGTCTCTCCCTCTCTCTCTGTCCCTCCCCCACACATTCTCTTATTCTCTCTCCTCCTCTCTCAAAAATGAAAAAACATTAAAACAATTTTTTTAAAAAAATAGCATAAAATATACCCCCTCCACCCATATGGCAATTTCAAATTATTCTTAGATGTAAAATAAAACTTACCTCATACTTGTTCAACTCTTTAATTAGCTTTTTTTCTTGGATAATAAATTCCTCCTCCCCTTGTTTTAATTCTAACGTAAGTTTTTCAATATCTGCCAAAAATTCAGTGATCTCCTTTTGTCTAAGATTGGTCTGATTTGAAAGCAAACAAATTGAAGATTTGTCATTTGCCCTGTGGCAATCAGCCTTACATTTTCAAACAGCCCAAAGTTAATATCTCTTTGCATGAGACGTGGCTCTGATTTCAGGTTATATATTTTCACAGCAACTACTCGAGAGAGGGAATGTATTTATTTATTTTCCCCTCCAGCAGTTAATTTATTCACCAAACAATATAATATCTATAAACTACACAAGGAAATGGGCAATGGGAATGATGGAAGTTGGAGGGTGGGCGGAGGGTAAATATTAGTGCTGAATAATGATGTTTGGTTTCTTTTTTAGGAGAGCTTCCCTAAAAGTGAACCTCACGTAAGTTTCCGGTTACAAGTTTCAAAAGCATATTCTAGAGAGAAGTGCTACTGTTTGCCAAATTCCTTCAATTCATACACAGCAAATAGTAATTTAAGAAAGTTAAATAATTCACTCTAAACCTAAGTCACCAGAAAGGAAAATATCTTTTAGTAAGATGAAGTTTAATTAAATACTGAAGGAGAATTACTGATATGCAATAATAATACTGACTCTATACTAATATGGAATAATAATATTAAAGTCCCTTGAGGGACGCCTGGGTGGCTCAGTCGGTTGAGCGTCTGACTTCAGCTCATGTTATGATCTCACGGTCTGTGAGTTTGAGCCCCGTGTCAGGCCCTGTGCTGACAGCTCGGAGCCTGAAGCCTGCTTCAGATTCTGTGTCTCCCTTTCTTTCCACCCTTCCCCTACTCAAGCTGTTATCTCTGACTCTCTCTCAAAAATGAATAAACGTTAAAAAATTAAAAAAAAAAAAAGTCCCTTGAATTCCTTACCTCTTGCATTAATTCTATGCGTCTAAATTCAGCAGTCTGTAGTTTATTGAAAATTTCTTCTACTTCAAACTTCAGCTGCCCTTTTAAACGTTCATGCTTTTTTTGCAAACAAGTTATCTTCCACTGAGTTATGATGCTAGAAATGAGAGCAGAAAGAATTCTCATGAAACTGATCTAACAGTTTACTGAAAAAATGGAGGAATTCCAAGCAAAACAAATCCTACTATGATCATATAAGATTATTTGAGGTACTGGCGATGCAGACCACGCACATTAGCTGAAAAAATTAGACAAAGTGATAACTGCTTCAGTGCTGGCCAGCTTCACAAGCTGCTTCATTGCAACAGGCTGTGTCGGTATGTCCACTGGGACCGTGGACAAACCACATTTGGCAGCTCACCTCCTTTAGGTGAAGGATAGACAAGGGATAGCAGAAATAGCAGTCAAATTCCCTCCCAGTGTGCCAAATTTCCACCTTCTGGGTTTTCAAATTTTTCTCTCCGCCACAACATTAAAACGCTGCATTGGAGAATGGGAGAGATGTGCCTTTGGAGTCTTACAAATGAAATTAAAGACCATGACAACAACAATAAAATACAGCTGAGATTTTGCAAATCTTTCCTAGGTGCCAGGAGGTCATCTAAATACATCTCATTTGCCATTCATGATGACTTCATAAGGTGGGTGCTACTATCATTGGCCACTTTGTAGGGATGGGAGCAAAGAGAGATTATTAAATAATGTGGCCTCAGTCACAGAGCTAGTCAGCAACAGAGCAACCAAAGTAGCGTGTGTTTGGAGCCCATATGTTTATCCATGCTTCCGTGTCACTGCACATCACCTCCCCCGCTGGTCCGCACAAAAGCCTGGTGAGCAAGAGGCAGTGCAAGAATCTTGACAATTTTGTTCTTCAGTGAGCTCATTCAATTGAAATGGAAAACTTTGGTTCTGTTCAATGCCCTCAAATCAAACTAACAAACATAACTAGATCTGAGAGATGTCACCCAATTTAATTTAGGAAAATAATTTCCTTGGACTCTAGCAAGTAACAAGTACTCGGATTTCCTCCCTAATTTGAGGCACTACTCATTAAGATAATATATACTATTCATAACACAAATGAAATTTTTTTTGTTTTTGTTTGTGTTTTTTTACCATCTCTGACTTTCTCTTTCCAGGTTATCACTCAGGATTTCTATTTGTCTCTGATATACGTCCTTGGTTGCTCTAAAAACAGGAAAACATACATTGAGTTTGGCATTTGTGGAAGCTAGTAGAATATACAAGTGACATTATGTATAATTCTTACATACAATAAGACTACCATCTAATTGGGAGACAAATCAAACCTAGTGTAACAACTAACGGTACTGGTAGACTTAGAGAAGGACAATTATAATTTTGTGCAAGTGTAAACTGATTTGGCCAGGATTGTAGGAGACCTAAGGGAAAGGAGGAACAGATTCGGCGGGCGGGGGGGGGGGGGTTGCAGCTGAGGAAGGGACATTGGAGGTTAACATTTAACAGAGGGAAGAACAAAGATCACCAGAATGGAGGTGCGATCTCATCATGGGAAGGACATCATCATTTGCAAAGACATGGAAAAGGAGCAGCAAGTCAAGACTTACGACTAACACAGACTTGCTGCTGACAGATGACATAAAGGGAAGTAACACAGTGACACAGGAGGGGTAAAGGTCAATAAATTGGTGAGGAACTTTGAATTCCTGACTGAGTCCTGATTTGATGCAATGTATAATTCAGAAAGCCAATAAAGATTTTTGTACCAGGGGTAAGTAGTAATTAAAGATGGAAGGTTTTCTTGTGACTCTAGGATGGATGGAAACATGAAGAATCTAGCATAGGTATTAGAAGACTTTATTATTTTTATTCTCCTTTTCTCTATTAAGTACTTCTTTCGCAGAAATAAAAGTGAAATATGACTCTGTATCTTTTGAAAAATAGAAATATTCCGGGGCACCTGGGTGGCTCAGTTGGTTAAGTGCTCAACTTCATCTCAGGTCATGATCTCACGGTTTGTGAGTTCAAGCCCCACATCGGGCTCTGTGTTGACAACTCAGAGCCTGGAGCCTGCTTCAGATTCTATATCTCACTCTCTCTCTGCTCCTCCCCCACTTGTGCTCTGTCTCTGTCTCTCAAAAATAAACAAAAACATTTAAAAAATTTAAAAAAGAAAAATTCAAGTATTCAAAGCTAAAACAATACATAATGCTGTTAAACTAGAAACACAACTGGGTTCATGTTTTTTTTTCTCCATCTGAAATCACAGTGTGGGTTCTCAATCTTCTACCTCAATAAATCTATCACCCCACCCCCGAACTCTAAGATTGTTTCACGATGTGCCCCAGTCTCACTGATTTTATTTATTTATGTACTTAGTTTAATTCACAAAGGAGTTGAACTAGAGTGAAATAACAGCAGCAATATAAAAACTCCTAAAGGAGAACCAATACTGGGTCATGAATGTGGCTCAAAGCTTCCCAGTGACCAGAGCAATGATGGCAAAATGATTGTAGAATCTGCGTTATTCATGTGGAAAACAAACCCCCGAACTCAACCCAATTGTATTTTCCCACATTTTTCACAAGGAAGAGCTCATAGTTTCCCTTCAGAAACCAACATGAAAAACAGATGTCGAGATATGTTATTCAACAGCGTAAGGACAAGCAACCTGCACATCCTGCTGTGATCTAGATTTCTGCTGACAGGAGTCAAATTTCACCTCCACTTGTCTTAGGTTACTTTCTCCACTGTCCTACACTCAAGTCATAAAGTATATTCAAATTATAAACATGAATTATAAAAATGCAACCCTCTTGGGTCCAGTAATTCAACTTTTAGGACCTTATTATAAAGAAATAGTTGTATAAGTGGACAAAGATATGTTAAGGGATGTTAACTTTGAAAAGCGCTTATAGTAGAGAAAACACAAAAACAAAAGTCCATCGGTAGGGCGCTGGGTAAATAAACCATAGCATATTCAGTAAAAGGAATATTAAGCAGTTAAAGAAAGAATAAAGAATGAGGTCCCATATATATATGAATTTTGCCCCCTCCTGAAATAGCTCTAAAATCAACAGATAAGTGTATAAAAATTAATACAAAGGATTTCCATATACTTTTCACCAATTTCTCCAAATGTTACCTTTTATCCTATTTGTTTTATCATTTTCCCAGGTATATTTTTCCAGCTTTTTATGGAGATAGAGTTGAAATATAATATTGTGTAAATTACCCAGATACAATTTTAAGTGGAAAAATTCCAGTTCTAGAAAAGAGAAACCCATTTTTGGATATATGTACACACTCCTATTACAGAAAGCAAGCCTAGCAAACTGTTAACAGTGAGATCTCTGTGGGGATACGGAAATTAGGGTCACTTTTACGCTTCTAAGCCACACATTTCTATATTTGATTTTTAAAATCATGTGCAGGCATTATTTTAATCAGAAAAATCAAAATTAAAAATCAAAGTGATTTAGAATAGCAGAAATGAACACCATAGGGGTCAGTGTTGTAATAATGTTCAGGCACATTCTTGTCACTAGACTCCTAATGGGTCCATTTCTCATGTCCAGAAGCTTGTCTAGAACTCAGGACCTATCTATCCTTTCAGTGATAATGATTCTTCTACACTGTAAAACAGACAGTGAACTATAAACCTCCTATTCTATAGGACATCAGAAACTGACAGATCTATATTCACCATATATTTAAAAACAAATGCAGAAAAGAATGAAGATTAAACGTTTCAAAGGCACCAAACATACCGATAAAGGTCCTGGAGAGTGACAAGACCTTCCTCCATATGTTTGATGTCTACTTTTCTTTGTGATAGGAAGTTTTCTTTCTGAGTAATAAATGCTATTTGCTTCTGATTTCTACCATGAAAAAACCAGAGTTAGCATTATGTTGAAAGGTGAAATCATCTTTTTTTTATTTTTAATTTTTTTACATTTATTTATTATTGAGAGAGAGAGAGAGACAAAGCATGAACGGGGGAGGGGCAGAGAGAAGAGACATGGGATCCGAAGCAAGGTCCAGGCTCTGAGCTGTCAGCACAGAGCTCAACACGGGGCACGAACTCATGAACTGCGAGATCACGACCTGAGCCGAAGTCGGTTGCTCACCGGGGTGACTGAGCCACCCAGGCGCCCATGAAATCATCGTTTTTAACTCCTCAGCATGAGTGGATATAGCAATCACAAATAAGAATATATAAAAGTAGTCTGCAAAGGTCAGTCCATCAACTGTTTACTGAATAAATTAGGAAAAATAGAAACAAAGTCTTATTGCTAGTGGTGGTAAATTCTAAACTCAAGAAAATCCCTAAGCCACGGAAAGAGCCTGAATTGCTATAGTCACCATAAAGCCACAAGAACAGTTCTGTCCCTAGCGCTCTGTCCCTCTGAGCAGGGGTGTGTCTCTTTTAATGCACTTATCAATTCTACCATGTTCTTTTGTGAAAGGTGAAGGGGTCAGTTAGATCGACTTTAAATACTGGCTTTACCTCTTTCTAGCAGTGTGACCTTGAAGGAAACTTCACCTGTAGATGAGCCTCAGTATCTCCATCCATAAAATAGGGATCATAATACCTATCTCAATAGGTGTAAGGATTAAATGAGATATAAAGTGCTCAAGCCAGTGTGTGGGACTCATGAGGCACTTCACAAAAAGTGGTTATAATTTGTCTCCAATTTGCAGAGAGAATAATAGGAAGTATACAATTTTGTTCTATGTCAGTATTTCCAGACATTGAGAAGGACATTCCTGTAACAGAAAGTGCTTTATATAAGTGTCTCATCTTCTTCAAAACTTCTATGGAGTGAACTGTGTTCAGTCCCTACAAATTTGTATGTTGAAGCCCTAACACCCAATATGATGGTATTTGAAGGTGGAGCTTTTGTGAAGTGATGAGGTCAGCTGATTAGATGAGATCCCAATGGAGAGGCTCCTTGTAAGAAGAGACACCAAAGAGTTTGTTTTCTCCCTATCTCTACCATGGAAAAACACAGTGAGAAGGCAGCCCTGTGCAAGCCAGGAAAAAGGGCTCTCACCAGAACCTGCCCATGCTGACACCCTGACACTGGATCTCCTTCCTCTAGAACTGTGAGAAATAAATTTCTGTAGTTCAAACCACCCAGTCCATGGTGCTTAGTTATGGCAGCCCAAGCTGAAGACAAAAACCAATAACAATACTAATTGTTTTAGTGTTACGGTCATTTGTCATCAGCACATTTTAAGATTAAAACTGATCAACTTAGTACTGATCTGGGGGAAATTTTTATTGAAAGAACTACTAACAGCAGATTCTTGTAGGCTATTCAACTGAATGAGATACAATGATTATAACGACTCTCTGTAGCTCACATGCTGCAATGACCATAATCTCAGTTTCACCTAAGTGTGCCTGGATACCGTAATTCCACTTCTGTGTGATCTAACTTTGTCTGTAGTAAGGGATCATTACTTACCAAATTCATGCTTGCAAGATGTTATTCTGTATTCATTAAGAAAAACTGGTGAATGCCCACTATCTGCTAAGCAATGTACAAGGTCCTGGGGATATAGCACTGAGTAAGGCAGAACAACTACCCTGATCTGTTCGTAGTTCACTGGAAACAAGAGATTCATACAATGCAGTGGCTGATGAAAAGGAATGGCATCAGAGGAATGTTTCAGAAGGATCATTTGGTGGAAGGAAGGTGAACAAGTTAAGGGTGGTAAAGCAGGAAGTGGAAAGAACTTCTGAGGGATGGATGAGCCAGAGCAAAGAAGCTGAAAGAGGTGACAAGAAGGGGGTTGGGGAGAAGAATGGGATATAGTTGAGAAATATCTAAGGAGTGGAATTGACAAGCTTGGTGCCTGAATGGGATCCAATGGGTAGTAAAAGATAGGAATTTCCTCGAATAACTTCCCAGTCTCTGGGCTAGGGGACTGTGTCAATGACCAAACCCTTCACAGAGTTAGGGAAGAGATGGGCAGAGCCAGTTTCTCTAAACAGTCTCATGGGGTAAAAGCAGGATTATTTTTTTCAAAAATCTGATTTAGAAGTAAATATAATGCACATGGTATCTGTGGATTTGATCGGACCCATATGAGGAAAGCATTACTCAGTATGTATAGAGGTAGATTAGGAGTGTGCTTATTTTGGAGTAAATAATATTTCATTGTTGTCAATAGATTTTAAAACTAGGATAAGTTTAAGTAGAGAGTCACCATTTAGATGGCAAGGAAAGCGCCCCATAACCATGACGTGTTGATTCATGTACAGATCATGGACAGAAACATACTCATCATCAATTTTCTGTTTCTGCACAAAAACTTTATCCTCCTCACTTATGACAATCTTATATTGTCTGGTAAGAGTAGTCAATTTCTCCTGTAGATCTTTGTTCTCTAAACGACTTTTGTGTAGTTTTTCAGCCATCTAGGAAAAAAAAAAAGCAATTAGAGGATTTGTTTCACGTTTCCTTTGATGGGAGTTAGTCATATGGCAACTCTAGAGCACTGGATATGTTACTTAGTACACAATGAGTATGCCGTAAATGTTAAATGATTTAATTCTATATCAAATATGCAGTTAAACATTTTGGCACCTCTCCTACAAATTATGACAAAAGTGTAGAAAGGAAGTAGACACTGATACAAAAAACACAGAGTAATCATTCATATTGAAATAAGAATTGGGGTTAATGAACTGAGATCATTGAACAGGGTCTGTAAGTCCTTTTCCCAGAAGATAAACTACACTAGGGGAAAGAAAATGTAGGGGCACCTGGGTGGCTCAGTTGGTTAGGCGTCTGACTTCGGCTCAGGTCATGATCTCACACTTTGTGGGTTCGAGCCCCTCATCGGGCTCTGTGCTGACAGCTCACTCAGAGCCTGGAGCCTGCTTTGGATTCTGTGTCTTCCTCTCCCTGCCTCTCCCTGATTCGTACTCTGTCTCTCCCTCTCAAAAATAAATAAAAAGTGTTTAAAAGAAAAAGAAAATGTAACACCAACAAAAGCTCTTTCTCAAAACCTCTTTGATGAGATACTATGTCTGTTTCTTGTTAAATATTTCTATTCAAGGACAAAACTAATGCTTATTAGTGAACTTTGTATTTAAGAAATTTGTATTTAAGATGTCTCTATTGAATTGCTTCACATGAAGTAAGAAAGTTATGTTAAGGAGTGATAGGCTGAGTAGTTCAAAATAACCTTTTGGCTGAGGATCACTAGAATAACTGGACCAAAATATATCTTAGAAGTGTTGAAGAACTGGGGCGCCTTGGGGGCTCAATTGGTTAAGTGCCAGTCTTCAGCTCAGGTCATGATCTTGCAGTCTGTGGGTTTCGTGGTCTGTGCTGACAGTTTAGAGCCTGGAGCCTGCTTTGGATTCTGTGTCTCCCTCTATCTCTGCCCCTTCCCCACTCACACTTTGTCTCCCTCTCAAAAATAATAAACATTTAAAAACTTTTTTTAAGTGTTGAAGAACTAATAAGATAATGATTAATTCTATAAGGAATCAAGAATCCAGAGTAGAGGGCCCCAGGGTGGCTTAGTTGGTTAAGCATCTGAATCTTGATTTCAGCTCAGGTCATGATCCCACAGTCATGGTATAGAGCCCCACATTAATTGGGCTCTGCACTAGGTGTAAAGCTTGCTTAGGATTCTCTCTCCTTGTCCCTCTGGCACCTCCTCTGCTCTCACTCTTGCTCTCAAAAAAAAAAAAAAAAAAAAAATCCACAGTAGTAAATCTAGCACTGACAACTCCTTTTATCCTGAGGACATTGACAGAAATGGAATTTTAGTTCTCTTACCAGACAAGAGGGACAAAAAGCAACACTTAGAGTTCACCCAGGTATTGAGTCTAATAAAGCTTCCACCACTTTAGCCTGGGATCCCAAAAAGCTTCACGCTCTGGAGAAGGGTAAATTGGAAGCAAACAAGCCATGGTCCAGGCTAATTTTGATCACCAGGGAACCTAAGCGTGCATTAAAGTGATTTGAGACTGATAATACCCCAGCCACCTGACAGAAGTGAATGAATGTCTGTTTCTGAAGAAGATATGATCATCCTAAGGTTCAAATTGTTTTTACAACCTTCCCCCCCACCCCAAATAGAATGCCTGGTGTACAGTTTTCTACCAGGAACAGAAGGAAATAAGACAGAATGAACAAAAGTTGGCAGAAGCAAAATACTACAGAAACAAACCTATGAAAACATCAGGTAGTGCTTGGAATCAGATGCTGAACTATAAAAATACTGTTTACTATAATCAAAGAAATATTAGACATACTTGAAAATTATGGCAAGGAGTTGAAATAGACAACGAGGATTTGAAAATTACCAATTGAAAAATTCAATAACCAGAATTAAGAGCTGAAATAGACCATTCTCCCCAGGATTCAGCAGGAGGGAGACAAAAGGTACAAAACACAGAAGGGGGTAAAAAACATAGAGGACATGCATATTAGCACAAATAATTGTACACACATGTGTATATATATATATAAAATTGGAATCTCAGAGAGGAAAGAGAATGAAATATGTGAGCAGATAATGGCTAAGAATTTTGCAGAACTTACAAAATATAGAAATTCACAGATTTAAGAAGCCCAATAAATCCCAAGCAGGAGAAATAAAAAGAAAACGTGGACATGACAGTGAAACTGAATAAGTCAAAGGGAACAAAGAAGACCTGAGGTATATGAGGTACACCATGTTCAGGGATTGGAAGCCTTGATCTTGTAAGAATGCGACATTCTCCCCAAAGTGATCTACAGATATAATCCAACCCCAGTCAAAATGCAAACAGGTGGTTTGGGCAGGATTTGACATCCTGATAGAAATTCAAAGGCCAAAAACAGAGGAGGCATTCTCGAAGAACAAAGTTGAAGGATTTATACTGCTAACTATAAAGACTTATGTTAAATGCTGCTAATTAAGAAAGACTGGTTTTAATGTGAGGGAAGAACAAGTCCAAAGGAACACAATAGAGAGTCCACAGATCTACACACATATTTATGATGTACTTATAATCTACTTTTGATTTATAACAAATAATGCCATTACAATAGAGTGCAGGAAAAGACTGTGTTTTCATTAAATGGTCCTAGTTAACTGGACAATCCTATGGAAAAATATGAATCCTGACCACCATTTCACAGCATGTATGCATGCATGCATGCATACGCACACGCACACGCACACGCACACGCACACGCACACACACACACACAGATTCCAGATGGCTTGTAGTCCCAAATGTGAAAGGTCAAACAATAAATCTTCTAGAAGATCATGAAATAGTATCTTTATGACATAGGACATAAAAACCAAAAAGGAAAAGATTGATAAACTGGACTTCATTGCAATTAATAAATTATATCCATCAAAACATATATATGCACATAAGGATTGTACATTTATAATGTTTGCACTGTTCTGTATCTGTATAATATTTTATGATAAATTAAAATAAAGCTAGAATAGAATTTCATGTCATCACTGAACTTGCCTCCTATGCCTCTTGAGAATTAACATTGCCTGCAGCTAAGAGTCCAGTGGAAATAGTAAATGGGTCAGAGCCCTGATCCCTTTAAAGCAGTCACTGACTTAAACTCATGGAATTTGGCTGAGGGCTATGGATTAAAGGGACACCCCTTTGCATTTGCCCCTTTGAACAAGTAAGCCATGCCACTGTAGAGGCCCTGGATTTTCCAGATAGTTGGGGGCTGCAAACTATGAAGTTATCATCTGAAGCTGGCAGATGATATAATAGGAGATAAACGGAAAGGAAAAAGAAATCCTAGTTTCTATCTTTCAGAATCTTCACAACTAAAGAATCAGAGTAGGTCTAACCTGGAGGAAAGCCATCCCTAATGCCATTAGCTAGTAATCAAATGGAAAGAATTTAATTGGTTCAAACCATTCTTCTGGGAGAGATCTGCCTTGTATTGTTTTATATTCTTTTTGTCACGCAATAATATGAGCTATTACTTAATCAAGGTCCCTTTATTGGACTTTAATTGTATCTTCCCCCTGATTTTTCAATTATCATAATGAATGCTTTACTGAATACTTTGTGGATAAGTTTTGGTTTACACCCGTAATTAAGTACTTATCATATTTTTTTAACCTAAGATTTAAAATGTCTAGAGAGTTCGCCCAGGTGCTAATCTGACTCCAATATTTCACTATGTACTAAGAGCAGTATGGGTTGCTAGACTTTACAGGCACCACATAAATATAAGAAGATCCCACTCTTTTCTAAATAATTCACATGAAAAATATCCATTGATCTGGATATTTCTAATGTAATATAACCATAACCACATGACAAGTTTCCAAATAATTCATCTTCACATAGACAACACTGGCTCTTTCATATATTTAAAACACTTTGGGAGGGGATAAAAATCTTTAAATGAATTACTGTAAATGATCATGGTGATACGAATTCATGAAAAATCTACTTTTGGAAAATTTCACATTTCTCAAATATATTTAAAATATTAACTAAAAATAAAAACTACCATAAATACTAATAATAATCTAAAAGGCATAATTTCCATCTTCCTACCTGCTTTATCTTCTGCAAAAGTTCCTCTTTTTCAACATTAGATGAATCTTCCAGTTTTTCCTTGTTACTTGCAAAAAATTGTCTACGATCAAACGAAGACAAACAGATTCATATTAGGGCATGTTTTCCAGTAAAGTCACATTTATTTATGACTCCAGAAACTTCCAGTCCCCATTTTCCTATGAAATGTATTTATGAGTATATTCACAAAAATAAGCAAAAAAACACTTTACTCTTCTGCTGAGTTAATACTTCCTTTATTTATACAGTAAGAAGCAATTATGAAACACTTGTCCTCTGCAGGTGTTATAGATACTAGAGATGCAGCCCAAGCAAAGTCCCTGCCCTCATGGAAATTACACTCTAGTGAAGTAGAATATAAGCAAGTTACCATCATCATAATAACAATTATAATTATTGTTATAATACTTGTTATTATTATTTCAGATAGTGTTAAGCACTTTAGAGAACACAAAGTAGGGTGAAGGATAGAGAAATCCTGAGAGTGAGGGTACTACTATAGATTGGTGATAAGGGAAGGCCTCTTGAGATGATCTGTGAAAGGCCTGAATGATGAGGAGGAGTCAGATATAGGTGAAGATATGAAGAAAGAGCTTTTCATGTAGAAGGAACAGCCAGTGATAATATCTTGAGGCAAGAACTAGTTTTGTGTACTTGGTGAGGAGAGAATTATGAGAAGGCTGGAGAGGCAGAAAGAGACTAGATCACGTAGGGTCTTGAGGACAAAGGAGAAGTTCAGATTTTATTGTGAAGGGAACCCCAGGGGAAGATCAAAGCAGAGGAGAGACATGAACTGATTTACATCTTGTAAAGATGACTGTGGCTACTTAGTGGAGAAAGACAACAGTACAGGAAGACAGACTATGTAGAAGGCTATGGCAGTGGTCCAGAAGAGATAATGGTGGCTCAGACTAAAGTTGTAGTGGTGGAAGTAGTGAGAGACAGTTGGACCTGCCTTTCGATTTGGCTGGAGGTTGGGTTAGGCTTAGGTAGTGAGGAAAACAGGAATGATAGAGGATTCCCAGGTTTTAGGCTAGAGTAACTAGTTAAGTGGTGATATGGAAGACTGATAGACAATCTGTCTTAAGGAGGTGGGAAATTAAGAGTTCTGTTTAGGACATGTTATATTTGAGATATCTAACAGACATCCTTCAAATGGAGAGGTCAAATAAGCTACAGAGTATATGCATTTGGTATATGCATTTAGTACTGGATATATATATATATATATATATATATATATATATATATAAAAGGTATATAAAACTGTAAGACTGGATGAAATCATGTATGGAGAGTATGAATAGAGAAGGGCTGAGAACTCCAAAATATTAAGTCAGAAAGAACTGGAGCAAATAAAGGGCCCTGAGAAGGGGCAGTTTAGTGAGTGACATAAGAGAATATGATGTTTGGGAGGCTAGGAAAGACAGTATTTCAAGAAGGTAGAAATGTTTCAAATTCCATTAAGAATTCAAGAACTTTACAGAGTACAAGAACTTTACGGAATACGCTAAATCATTAAAGTTTGGCAGTATGGAAGTTATTGGGAATCGCGAAAAGTTTGAAGTCATTTCAACCCTTTTAAAAGGTAAGCATATACTCTGGGTCACAAATTGGATACCATTTATTTACAACTTTTAGCTTACAAACCGCCACTTCCTATGTGCTGAAACTAGCCGAATGACCATACCCATTTAGAAAGGTAGGCACAGGATTTGCCTTTTTTTATGCAAACACATCATGCTAGACATCAATAATCATAATGAATAAGGTTTAAATTATCAAAGAATGTTTCCTGAGAACTTGTGGAGCATTTGAGGTACTCTTAACTGTTCACACACAGAATTTTAACGCTTGTTTGAATCATTTTTTTTTCTCAATATTTGGACCTTAAAATATGTAATAAGCTTGGAAATTAAAGGTTTCATGGGAGGGAATAAGGTTTATTGATTAATAAAAAGATGGGTTTCTGCAAATCATTTTAGTTTCTTGTATAATTTACTCTTAAAGAATCTTACAGGTTATTATAAAACAACATTCAACTCTTCAAATCTACCAACCAAGATTTAGGTGCCTTTTCTCACTTCCATAAATAGAGAAATTAAACAAAAGGAGAAAATAGAAGGAACATAAGAATTTTCTTTTAATTTGCTTGGTAGTAAAGAGAAAAAAAAGTATAGTTTTATTAATAATAAAGGGGGTAACTGAAATCTCCAAACACCAATTAACCAAATGCACCTTTCCTCACAGAGATGCCGTATGAATGAAAACTCTTGAAAAGCTGAGATTGAAAACAAAGAAGTGATGAGCCATTAAAAACAGAAGATCAATGAATCCCCATTTCTTTCTTGAATGTATATTTAAAACAAATTAGCTAACATGAAGTCTGCTTATAAGTAAACTTCATCAGTGTAGCAAGTTTTTAAATCATAACTCCTAGAAATAACTGAAGAGCTAATCTGTATCTTCCTCTATGATTATTTGTCTAGTTTTTCTTTAAAATATGCATGAACTAAAACTAAAGAATCACTTTCAAAGAAACAAATTTTCTTATTCTGAGTTTTAGTTGTAGGATGACTTGAGCTTCTATACTTTTTAAAAAAATTTATTTATAAGTAAATATTAGCCCAACATGGAGCTTGAACTCACAACCAAGATCAAGTCCCATGCTCCACTGACTGAACCAGCCAGGCACCCCAAGATTTTATATTTTTAAATCTGGTACTGAGTATGAAGATTATTGCCTATTTTATGGCCTGATGATGGCAGAATTGCACTGTATTGTGTAACTGCTGTTTTAGAAGACATATATAAATCAAAAAATATTTTATCCTATATAGAAATAAGCTATATTGTAACAAGATTCCACATGTGAAGTTACTTGCCTTTTGGGGAAGCTACTAAGTCTAAAATTAGTCTTTTAAACCGCCAACAGAATCTGGGGGAAGGTCTGGAAGCCATATTTGTACTAAAAGACTCCACCTTCCTGGTCAGAGCCAAACAATCTTCTGATGGGAAAAAAAAAAAATCTGGGAATTCTCCTGGGAGAAGTCTGTGGGTCAATCTCTAAAGATAGATGGACACGTGACAGGTAAACTCAGAGGGTTGGGAATGTCCATGCGTAGCCATGGGCCCTCGCGGAGAAAACACAGTATGTAGATAAAGAGAGAATGAAACATGGTTCCCAAAAGAAAGCAGAGACTGTGCTCCTTGGGATGGACAGATTTCCTTCAGTTTATGGTTCTAGTCCCATGGATTTTGCCCTGAAACATCCTTGTATTTTCTCAACAAGTTCTTTAAGTCCCCTTTGACTAAGAACAACAACTATCATAGCAAGGGTACGTGATCCTTATAGGAGGTTCCACTAATGCCTTCCCCTGTGGACATACTTGTTTGTAGGGAATCAGGAACTAAAGTGAGGATAACTGATTCCAAAGAGTCCCTCCTTTTTCTTAAAATGACTGTATCATCCTCAGTTTTTCTCTTGATCATATGGAAGACTGGCTAATTTCCAGACGAAGAGGTGGGTTTTTTTAAAGCTGACAATCACAAATTTCAGTAAATTAAGAGAATATAGTTCTCAATCTAATATGAAATAATTTTTTATGAAAGAAATATAACACCTAGAAGTGCTTTAGTAAAAATAAAGCATTGAACTTACACTTTATTCTCCAGGGTCTTACATGATTTCTTTATTCCTTCAACCTCTTGTTCCCAATATCTTATTGATCCTTGTAGTTGTGCTATCTCTAGATTGTGATCACTAAGAACCTATTGAAAATTCAATAAAATTATGGCATTCAGTTGTCACCAAATGATTTGTGGCAGTGTTCAATTCACTAACCATTCATGTATCATTCATTCAACTTTGACATTGGGGGTATCCTTTAGCTAAAATAAAAAAGCAAGCATTAAAATTATTTACACATAGAACAAACTTGGACAGAAATACTTCTGAAATCATCAGACAAAAACCCAAAATTTTGGAGAGCAGCCAAATACAGCAAATGAGAATATGAAAACTCTAAAAACAACTTTTAAGACATGAATTCATTTTGGCTACCTTTTAAAATAAATCTAAACAGGGGCGCCTGAGTGGCTCAGTCAGTTAAGCATCTGACTTGGGCTCAGGTCATGATCTCACGGTTCGTGGGTTCGAGCCCTGCATCGGGCTCTGTGCTGACAGCTAGCTCAGGGCCTGGAGCCTGTTTCGGATTCTGTGTCTCCCTCTCTTTCTGGCCCTCCCCTGTTCATGCTGTCTTTCTCAGAAATAAATAAAACATTTAAAAAATAATAAAATATATCTAAACAAATCTGTATTTTCATAATCAATTTCAAAATATCCAGGACATTAGAATGAGTATTACAAAAAAAAAGTTTAAAAAAATTACCTTAACTGACAAATAATCTCCTGTTGAAGAGAAGTTTTCTTAGTATTTATTCAGTATTTTGGAAATGTAACAGCTGGGTACTGTGGTAAAATGTTAGCATCATTTAAAAGAATGAAGTATGAATAGAGAAAATTCAAAGTGACACATATTTTAACAATGCAGTTTTGGAATAAAGGAAAGGGGAGGCAAACATATTAGAGCCTTGGGTTTGCATTTTAGCTGTGAGGGAGAAATGGAAGGGAGAGAAAGTTTATCAGACGAATTCCACTGTTCCCTGGCATGGAGTTACCACAGGCAGATTGTTTAATGCCACCTAACTGTGCATGTCAACATGAAGTCAGAGAAACATTGGTACCAGACAGGTGCCCGAAAGCTCCCCCCAACTCTTTCTTTCTCTGAAGCTCAACTTCAGAACTCAACTTCTGGGCAATAACTAGTTTCAGAGTTAACAAGGGTCTGAAGTCCAACATGAGCACACTGTCTAAAGGACCATGACCAATCATGAGGGTTAGTGGCTGTGTGAAGGCCCATTAGGCCCCACATCTGTCACCTCTCGTCCTTAATCCCCCCTGCCCTGGACATGCAGGCCACCTTGACAATCACATACCATTATTCTTTTCTGGCAATATCACCTCAGATTGACCGGGCTGCAGAGCTGTCTAAATTGAAGATTAACTTGGAATTCCCTGTTGTCTCAGTCCACAGCCAAACCCTGTTTTTTAATCACAGGTGGTGAGAGTAATAACCCCAATAACCACCTTTACCAAATACAAAGCACTCAGCTAAAAGCCTTATGGGCATGACCTCACTTGAGCTTCCAGACCATTTAAGTGGACAATATTAGTACCCCATTCTACAGGTGAGGAAACTTCAGGTTGGTTGAGTTAAAGATTTGAACCCCAGGACGCTGTGACACTCAAGTTTGTGTGTGTGTGTTTTTAAAATAGTTTACTGTCAAGTTGGTTTCCATATAACACCCAATGCTCATCCCCACAAGTGCCCTCCTCCATGCCTATCACCTCCCTTTCTCTCCCCCCACCCCCATCAGCCTTCAGTTTGTTCTTGGCATTCAAGAGTCTCTCATTGTTTGCCTCCCTCCCTCTCCCCCACTATTTTCCCCCTTCTTCTCCCCCATGGCCCTCAGTTAAGTTCCTCCTAATCCTCCTATATGTGCAAACATATAGTATCTGTCCTTCCCTGTCTGACTTATTTCGCTCAGCATAACACCCTCAAGGTCCATCCATGTTGCTACACATGGCCATTTTATTCTTTCTCATTGCCATGTAGTATTCCATGGTATAGATAAACCACATCTTCTTGATCCATTCATCTGTTGATGGACACTTAGGCTCTTTCCATGTTTTAGCTATTGTGGAGAGTGCTGCTATGAACACTGGGGTCCATGTGCCCCTATGCATCAGCACTCCTGTATCCCTTGGGTAAATTCCTAGCAGTGCTATTGCTGGGTCCTAGGGGAGTTCTATTGTTAGTTTCCTGAGGAACCTCCACACTGTTTTCCAGAGGGGCTGCACCAGTTTACATTCCCACCAACAGTGCAGGAGGGTGCCCGTTTCTCCACATCCTCGCCAGCATCTAGAGTTCTCTGATTTGCTCATTTTAGCCACTCTGACTGGCGTGAGGTGGTATCTCAGTGTGGTTTTGATTTGTATTTCCCTGATGAGGAGGGATGCTGAGCATCGTTTCATGCGTCTGTTGGCCATCTGGATGTCCTCTTTGGAGAAGTGTCTGTTCATGTCTTCTGCCCATTTCTTCACCGGATTGTTTGTTTTTCGGGTGTGGAGTTTTGTGAGTTCCTTATAGATTTTGGATACTAGCCCTTTGTCTGATATGTCATTTGCATCAAGTTTGTGCTTTAAACACTATTCTTCACTGGTAAAGTGGAGTTAAGGTGGGAAGATTGGCTTATGGGAGGTGGAGATTACACTGGAGGTGAGTTTATCCCTGCCACCTTCTAGTCTTGCATAATTTGGTCTGAGAGATCTTTGGAGTACAAGAAATCTTCCCTGTATCTTCCCAAGCTGGGTTGATGGAGTGCCTGACTTAAGATTTATGAGACCCAAACCAGAGACAGGAGCTTGGGCCTGCAGATAAAGTCTATCTGATATAACCCTTCTGTTCTCCTTTGAATCTAGCCTCACTCACGCTTGCTTACTATACAGGTATTTGAAAAACAGATAATGATTATCTATCTACCTATTGTATTTATTTATTGCACCTGCATGCAAGACCGGAGGAGGGGCAGAGGGGGAGAGAGAGAATCCTAAGCAGACTCCATGCCCAGCACGCAGCCCAATAACATAGGTTCCCACAACCCTGGGATCATGACCTATGCCGAAATCAATATTTGGAGGCTTAACCGACTGACCTACCTAGGCGCCCCAGTGATCTTTTTAAATACACATACTGGGGAGAAATTTTGATTCTACTAATGTTCTGTAATTGGATATCATAATAGACACACTATAACTAAGATGACCAGAACCACCTTATAAAAAGTATAAGGAAGTAACTGAGTATTCTGATAAGAAGTATAATGTTTCTGGTAAGAAATGTGAGGACTGTTGCCCCATATAGTTTTACATGTAATTCTCAATAGAGAGAAGAAATATACCAAAGACTGATTAATTCAACTAATTGCAATAGAAGATTAGCAGGCATTTTGTTTTAATTAATACAGAAGTGGTATTATTATTACCCTTTGCCATTAGAATCACCTCAATAAGCTTCAGTTTTATATTTAAAATAACGATAATCCTCACAAAACATTTATGAGGGCTAGCTTTCAATCAATGTTATCAATTTTAAAAAATAGAGGTGCAGAGACCTGAAGTATTTTCTAATTCATACAAATGGTCCCCTTTCCACATTAATGTCCCTCTGGCTAATATAAATCAAAAGTCCACACTGTTTTATTATCATACATTCAGAATTAAGGACTTTGCCCGTGGTTTTTCATTTTGTTATGTAAAATAAAGCAATCTCATGGAGTTGCTATATATGGTTCCGTATGCATTTGGCCAGTTCTGTGTGCATTTTAAAAACCATTTTTATAGTATTTTGGTCCATCGAATGCAATGGTACCTATGGTAATCCAAACTTCCTTCTTCTGACCATATTCCCAAAGACGAAAACACGATTGCACTATAACATTTCAAATACAGGGTCAGAAAATGTTATCATGCCGAAAACATTCTCTCAGAATGGTGTACAGATGGAGTAAAATCAGCTCCTTTGAAGAAGTCCCTGCTCCTGCTTACATTTAAGACAGTGTATATATCAAGGTGCTCTGAACAGGCTTAGAAAGACATAGTTTATTCTCTTACCACTGTGCTGGTACTAACTGTTTCTCTAATTTTTGACATTTTAAGTCTTAATATATCCAATTCTTTCTTCTTTTTAGTAATCTCCTTTCTATTCAATACACAGAGTTTTTTATATTCCTCAATCTGTAGGGATAAACAGAATAAATCTATCAAAAACTTAGGAGAACGACAAAGTTTAGGAAATCTTTTTATTTTGACAACCTATATTCAACCTAAGTATACCATAGTCTGTCAACGACAACAAAATGCACATATTAAAAAGAAAAAAAAAACCCAACCCCCCCCACCTCCAAAAACCAACCCAGGGTTTGCTTGCTTTGCAACATCATAGGAAGAATACTGAGCTACAAGTAACTGTAATCATAAATGTTGAATTTATATATTTATAAATTTATAGTAAATTTATAAGAGCAATAAGACGATCATTCATAGCAAATTATAAAAGCAGTGGCCACTGTAGCTATTTGCTAGTAAAACACCATAGCAATGGTTACCAGATTTATAAGATCACAAAAGTCAAAGAAAAAAATGAAGAACTGTCTGAATACCTAAATTCATATTTAAAAAAAATCTTTTTTTTTAACATTTATTTATTTTTGAGAGACAGTGACAGAGAATGAGCAGGGGAGGGGCAGAGAGAGAGAGAGAGAGACAGAATCCAAAGCAGGCTCCAGGCTTTGAGCTATCAGCACAGAGCCCGATGCGGGGCTCGAACCCATGAACCATAAATTCACATTTGTTTAGTGGGAAAGAAAGCAGACTGAAAACAGAGTAAACAAAAATCACTGGAGACTGGGAGCCACAGTCTTGGACAACCTCTTACCATTTTACCAAGATAAAACATATTCTGATTACTTGTCAGACCCAATGAAGTCATCCTCTTGTCAAAATCAAATACATCAATGGATTTTTCTAGCAAAATGAATTATCAAGAACAAGGTAACTAACTGAGTAGTTAGGCCTGAGAAAGCATATTCCCCTCTGTATTAAAGAGTTACGACAACGTGTGTTTGGGTGGCTTTCTGTTAAAGCTATCAGCCATTGCACCCGAAGTGTCTTATGAATGAACATGACCATTGTCAATTATCTCAGCACGAGGGCACAGATGCATATGAATGGAAACTTGTGATTAATACATTTTGTTGACAATTGGAATTCTGTGTTCATTCTTTGGCCTACGCCTTCTCGCAAGGTCTTGCAATCTCAGATACAGATTAGCAAAAAGTATTTTGTTTTTTGTAAGGGGAGAGCTTACGATTTGAAGACTCTGACAGTTTATAGTTTTTTCTTTCTCATAGGAAGTAAAGGAAATTAACAGGTTGTTACCACAGCCTGTCATGTGCCTTTAGTGAACAATGGTGGTTGAGTCCTTAACATCCACTGCACTTGGTCTATCCCACTGGGATTCATTATGGTTTGAGGTGTGGGTGCTTTCTTGGCCCGGCCAGATCAGACACAGCAAGAAGACTTATGGTCTTTGGTTGGAGAAGATCTTCCTGTTTCTACTTGAATAAGGAAGCATATGACCCAGTTATTGGTAGTCAGCTTGTGACCACAGAGCCAGCCTTAAGATGAAGGATGGAGGAGAGGAGGGATGAGCCACTGAATTAACTAGTCTTGGAGGCTGCCCTACCTTGGGGATTCCTACTATGTAACATAATAAATGCTCTGACTATTTAAGATAGGTTTGAGTTAGGGCTTCTGCTATTTGCATCTGAAAGTATCTTTTTTTAAATGTCTATTTATTTTGAGAGAGAGAGTAAAGGAGGGGCAGGCAGAGAGAGAGAGAGAGAGAGAGAGAGAGAGAATCCGAAGCAGGCTATATGCTGTCAGCACAGAGCCAGACACAGGGCTTGAACTCATGAACTGGGAGATCATGACCTGAGCCAAAATTAAGAGTCAATGCTTAATCAACTGAGCCACCCAGGTGTCCCTGTGTCTGAAGGTATCTTAACTGGTGCCCCTTTCCAGGGAGATAGATCAAGGGTAGACAAAATTCTAGTAGTGGGCCCCAAATCTAGCCACCTGTTACTGTAAAGCTGCTCTCACACATTTAAGTACTGTTCCTTTCGTGATAAAATGACAGATTTAAGTAGTTGTGACAGAGACTGTGTGGCCCACAAAGGCCCTAAATATTTACTATCTGGCCTGTTTCAGAAAAAGTGTGTGGATCCCTGAGAAAGACTAGTCACAGATGGAAGAACAACGTGTCATGTTTGCCAGCTCCCTAACTGAAGCCCCCCTGGGTTTCTTTTCTTGTGTTTTAACATTTATATTAAAGAACAGGAGGGGAGGAGCCTGGGTGCCTCAGTTGGCTGAGCATCCGACTTGGCTAAGGTCATGATCTTGAGGAGCCTGAAATGAAGTCCTCCATTAGAAACAACGTCAGGCACGTAGTCCCAGTTCCAGGAGAAGCCTCAGCTGAAGCCACCCTCGGACCGCCCCCGGATCTGCCAATCAAAAGAAATGTGTAACATTCCTGTAGTCTTGGAGACGAGTCAGGGCGGGGAGCTGCAGGTAGTTACTTTGTACAATCTTGCCAATCAATCACTGCTTGCGTAAGCCCCACTTAGATTCTCTGAGCCCACCTCATAATTGGTCATTTTTAAAGACTCTCAAAGGTCATGATTGGGTCCCGCCAAATGTAACGGATGCCTCGCAGATACTGAATGGTCAAAACTGTTACTATGCTGTTACTATGGGTGTTGTACAATTATGATTGGTGCTTACGTAATGATGCAAAACGAACAGCATGTGCACGGTAACACCCCCGCCCTTATCCCATAAAAACCTTGCTCGCCACTGTTTGGGGCTTCACTTTGCTGTCGCTGTGCCGGTAGGCAGGTGAGCCCCTGCTTGAGCTTGTAACAAAGACCCTTTTGTACTTGCATCTGTGCCGGCTCCTTGGAGGTCTCTGGGGACTCACGATTAGGGCATAACAATCTCACAGTTAGTGAGTTCTAGTCCTGCATTGGGCTCTGGGATGACGGCTCAGAGCCTGGAGCCTGCTTTGGATTCTGTGTCTCCTGCTCTCTCTGCCCCTCCCCCACTGTGTCTGTCTGTCTCAAAAGTGAATAAACATTAAAAAAAAAGAACAGGAAGGTGGAAACACTTCCCCTTAAGTCTGAAAATGAAGTTAGAAACTCATTCATTCAATACATATTATAGAGTGCCTCTCACGGGTGTGGTGCTTGGATATAGCAGGGAATTAAAGCCACAATCCCTGCCTTGTGGAGCCTGAAAAGGTCCAGGAAACTCAGCTTTTACAAATTCTGTTTAGCAGCTATACACTGCCAGAAAGGCTCCTTGCCAGCTACTTCAAAAAGCTCCCGTTCCAAGGATGACAAGGGCTAAACTGTCTATACGCGAGAAAAACAATCCATGCTTTTAGTGTAAAACTATTTCTGAAGATATAGGTGTTCTGAAGGATAAAGAAGCTCAGACCTGACTGGAATTTATGATTGGTCCAAGTCTTATCAGAGTCAAGTCACCGTAAGCCCAAATGTTGGCCACTGCCAGACTATAGTCCACTAAATTTTAATTAAGACTCAAGAAAGGCAATTTAATAAATCCTTCCTCCTTCCTCCTCTTCCTTTGAGCCCTAGCCAATTTCCTGCATCAAGTTATGCCCATTCCCATGATGCAGAGGAAAGAGGAGGAACTCAACAGCAATTCTCATCAGGAGCTACACAGCCACATGTGGGGGAGGAGGAGGCCCGTCTGAGCCGATTCCTACAGAGACAGGCCTGCCTCTCCTGGGGTAACCAGTGCAGAACAAAGAGGAACCATCACAAGGCATTTTGATGGTGAATTTTAATTAACATAGTCTAGCACACACCAAGATGCAATAGTTATTCTCACTCTACCCTCCCAATATTGCTAATCTCAAAATGCTCTTTTAAAAAAAAATTTTTTTTAATATATATTTTTTGAGAGAGAGCACGAGCAGGAGAGGCAGAGAGAGGGAGACACAAAATCCAAAGCAGGCTCCAGGCTCTAGGCTGTCAGCAGCGAGCCTGATGCAGGGCTCGAACTCGAACCATGAGCTGAAGGCTGCACTTAATTGACTGAGCCACCCAGGCGCCCCTCAAAATACTCCTTCCTATTAGAGCCCTTGGCTCTGCCTTACCCCTCTGTGGGCTGCGCTGCTCTGATTCATTCAGCAGGAGCCGAAGCCTCCGTCAGGGCTGGACTCCCTCCCTGGTCCTGTCCTTAGAGACATGTCTTCCGAACGGTTAGAGGCAATGAGATGCCATGCAGGCAAATCCTTGTCCCTATGGGGCCACATATGAGCAAGGGGCCACCCCAGTGTTCCCCTGGCATGCCACTCATAACCCTTCCCATGAGCTGAGACGCTATGACACATCAGTGTCTTCCCCAAGGGGCCCCAGGGTGCTTGGGTCTCTGCTCCAGGCCCACCCCAGTGTTCCCAGCAGATATCACACGCGACGCTTGCTAGCCTTGAGCCTTTCCTGCCTGAGATTCTGTACAATTCTGTATTTTTTTAATGTTTTATTTATTTATTTCTGAAAGAGAGAGACAGCAGGAGCAGGGGAGGGTCAGAGAAAGAGGGAGACACAGAATCTGAAACAGGCTCCAGGCTCTGAGCTGGCAGTCAGCACAGAGCCCGACGCGGGGCTCGAACCCACGAACCATGAGATCATGACCTAAGCCGAAGTCAGACGCTTAACCAACTGAGCCACCCAGGCGCCCCTATTCTGTTTTTTTTTTTTTTTTTTTTTAAAGTAAATCACGCCACTTACCTCTTCATTCAATTTTTCTTTTCTTTTCATATGTTCCAGTTTTTCTTTTTCCATCTGCTCCTGTATTTCTTTCAGACATTGTTTTTGGCATTCTAGTTCTTTCGTCTCCGAGTTTATTTTGGTGGAAGTCTCATTGATGTAAACAATGGCGGCAGCTTTTTCTCCCATCGTGTGGTTGAGGGACACCACGAACCTTTCATGCTTCCTTGCCAGCTCGTCTTGCTGTTCCCTGGGAGGAAAGAATGGTTCATGGCGCCAAAAAGTATGGCTTTTAGGAAAGGAATTTAAAGTCTGCTTGCTGAGATGACCACCAGAGAGAGGGAAATTGTAAGGCAAGCTTATTTTAGAGGTGTATTTGTGACTACCTCAACTTGGTCGAGAGGAAGACAAAAGGAACCACAACACAAATGTCAATCTTGCAACCACCTACCACTGCAGAACTGTCATGGGGTCCTGCCTCCCCCCACCCAACCCATACCAGGAAATAACTATGGGTTATTTTACATATACAGGGATTCAAAAACAGTTTTGAACAGATGAATGGAATCTGACAAATGGCTTGATATGTAGCATTGCCATAACTATCTTACCCTGAGACATCCAGTTAAGCCAAAGGAAGATAAACATCTCACCATCCCCCTCCAGCCACCTTCTTATGCCATTGCCTTGCACAGAGGGCCCAGGAGAAAGCTAGCCTTCCTCTGACGGACAGGAGTCAGAGAGGAGAGAGGAGAGCCCCTCTCTAATATCAGATATTATTCTCTAATTCTGAGATTTATCTCTTCCTCCGTGAGCTGCATAAATTCAAGCTTGTAATCCTCATTTTACAGATGGAGAAAATGAGGCCCACGGGGGTGAAGTTCTGGCACACAGCTCAAGAATAAAGGAAAGAAACTTAACAGGTGTCAGAATCTGAGCTACAGGCAGTTATATATATTATCTCATTTAATTACAGATAAAAATCTAGAACCCTCTGCTGGGAACCAGTCTCATCCTCAGACCTCTAGGAGTTTATGGCTGAATACCTTTAAGAAACTAACCTAGGCACAATATACCAGGGTTGATAACTATATATACAATGTAATACCCAGAAAGGTTTCTTTTTAGTGGTTGAAGTTTATAAACATAATTTTACTAAAATGCAAACTATGGGGCACCTGGGTGGCTCAGTTGGTCAAGTGTCTAACTTTGGCTCAGGTCATGATTTCATGGTTCATGAGTTTGAGCCCCACGTCAGGCTCTGTGCTGACAGCTCGGAGACGGCTTCGGATTCTGTGTCTCCCTCTCTCTCTGTCCTTCCCCCGCTTGCACTTTGTCTCTCTCTCTCTTTCCAAAATAAACATTAAAGCAACAATTTTAAATGGAAACTAAAGCCATTGTATGCCTCTACCTTTGGAGGGGGCTTGCAAGGACATGTATGATTCACACACAATAGTTGCTGCTGAGAAGCTAGATGGCCTCTGAAACGTTACAGGTCTCCTAATTGCAGTGGTTAAAGAATTTCTGCTCTCCTCCCCAGTTCTGTGCAGCCATCACACCCCCCTCAGCAGCCAGAGTCACCTGCTGGAGGTGGGTCCTCACCAGTTCAGAAACAGAGGGTGAACCCCTTAGGATATTTTTCACACTCCAGTCACAGACCCCCAACTCCTTCATGTACCACATCAAAAAATACATACCCGAGAGTTTTATTAATTGTTTTCAGATCAAGTAGGCTCTTCTTCAGAAACTCTACTTCACTATTCATCTTTGTAACGTCCGTTTGTAATTGATTTATCTCAAGAAGATTTAATCTGCGCGCATCTCTGATACATTCTTAAAAGTAAATGGAAATGTTAGTAGATTATTTGAGAAACAGCACACTTGTATATACTGACTTTTCAGGGTTTTTTTTAATGTTTGTTTATTTTTTTTAAATGTTTTATTCATTTCTAGGAGAGAGAGAGAGAGAGACAGCGTGAGCAGGGGAGGGTCAGAGAGAGAGGGAGTCACAGACTGAAACAGGCTCCAGGCTCTGAGCTGGTAGTCAGCACAGAACCCGACGCGAGGCTCGAACCCACGAACCACGAGATCATGACCTAAGCGAAAGTCGGACGCTCAACTGACTAAGCCACCCAGGCGCCCCAATGTTTGTTTATTTTTGAGAGAGACAGGGACAGAGCGTGAGTGGGGGAGGGGCAGAGAGAGAGGGAGACAGAACCCAAAGCAGGTTCCAGGCTCTGAGCTGTCAGCACAGAGCCTGACCCGGGGCTCAAACCCACAGACCAGGAGATCATGATCTGAGCCAAAGTTGGATGCTTAACTGACTGAGCCACCCAGGCACCTCCAGTTTGATTTTAATTTAAACCACTGGGTAGGGGAGGCAGAGGTTACATGGTAACAAGCTCTGGAGCTGTGATGACACTTGGGAGTTGTTCTGTACCTCGCAAGGGAGGCCGACCTTTGTGTTCTCACACTAACTGATCACTGAGTGTGGGCGGCTCCTGGGAGAGAATGCCCAGGATGGGGCAGGAGGTGGTGTCATCTATTCCTGCAGAGCAGCTCAGCTCTGAGCCTCAGTCAACACTCCCGGCAGCTGGGGAAATGAGGCTGGAGCCTTACTGTACACCACATACAAAATTTAACTAAAAGTGAATAAAAAACCTAAATATAAGACTTAACCCTATAAAAGTGTTAGAAGAAAACATGGGAGGAAATCTTCATGACATTGGATTTAGCAATGATTTCTTGGCTATGACACCAAAAGCACAGGCAACAAAAGAAAACATTGAGGGAACCTGGGTGGCTCAGTCAAGCATCCGACTTCCGCTCAGGTCATGATCTCGAGGTTTGTGGGTTTGACCCCACATTGGGCTCTGTGCCAACATCATAGAACCTGTTTTGGATTCTGTGCCTCTCTCTGATCCTCCCCTGCTCCTCATGCGCTCTCTCTCAAAAATAAATAAACATTAAAAAAAAAAATAAAGAAAACAGTGACAAACTGGACTACATCAAAACTTTTGTGCAACCAAAGTCAGTATCAACAGGGTGAAAAGGGGACACCATGGATGGCTCAGTCAGTTAAGCGTCCGACTCTTGATCTTGGCTCAGGTCATGATCTCACAAACCCTGCATCGGCCTGTGTGCTGACAGCACAAAGCATACATGGTATTCACTCTCTCCCTCTCTCTCTCTGGCCCTCCCCAGTGTGCACGCTCTCTCTCTCAAAATAAAAATTTTTTAAAATGTGTAAAAAGGCAAACCACAGAAGGGGTCAAAATATTTTCAAACCATATACTTGATAAAGAATTAACATCCAGACTCTGTAAAGAATTCTCACAATTCAATAACAACCAACCAACCTAGTTAAAAGATGAGCAAACAATCTGAATAGATATTTCTCTGAAGAAGATATCCCAATTACCAATAAGCACACGAAAAACGCTCAACATCACGAACCATTAGGGAAATGCGAAACAAAACCACAACGAGATACCATTTCACATCCATAAGGATGGCTGTATTAAAAAAAACAAAACAGAAAAGAACAAATGTTGACAAGAATATGAAGATACTGGGATCCTTGTACATTATGGTGGGAATGTGAAATAGTGCAGCCACTGTGGAAAACAGAATGGCAGTTTCTCAAAACCAAGGACTCTGCTACCATATCATCCAGCAATTCCCGTCTGCATATATGCCCAAAAGAATTAGAACCAGGGACTCTTAATAGATATCTGCACCAATAAATAAATAAATTTGCATCAACTGAATATTTTTTTGTTTATTTTGAGAGAGACAGAGAGTGTGTGAGCAGGGGATGGGCATAGAAAGAGGGAGAATCTCCATCAGGCTCCGCGCTGTTGGTGCACAGACCGTGCAGGGGTCAAACTCAAGAAACTCTGAGATCATGACCTGAGCCCAAATCAAGAGCTGGATGTTCAACTGAATGAGCCACACAGGTGCCCCAACACCCCCATGTTCACAACAGCTTTGATCACAATAGCTAAAAGCTGGCAGCCCAAGGGGCCATCAGTGGATGAATAAACAAACAAAACATGGTATACACACACAGTGGAATACTGTTTGACCTTAGAATGAAGGAAAATTCTGACACATGCTATAACATGGATAAACCTTGAAGACATGCCAAGTGAAATTAGTCATGAAAGAACAAATGTATGATTCCACTTATGTGAGGTACCTATATAGTCTCTAAACTTACAGGGGCAGAAAGTAGAACAGTGGTTTAGTGAGTCAAGTTGCCAAATTTGATTCAATAAATACCAATTTGGAACAGGCTAATCCATATGTCTTCAGTCTAGTTAGAAACAAAGTTATATAAATTCAAGTTTTATATACATCATTTCCACTTAAAGTGTAAGGGAAAATTATTATGGATCTGTGTTTGTGTAGCATATTCTTTTGAGCTATAGTTTGACAGAAAATAATTATGAAACTTGTCTTGTTACAAGCAGTGGGCTCAATTTTCTTAAAAGATAGACTAAGTTTCTACAGTTGATAACCTAAAAAGTACCTTCCAGTTCTCTGCCAATGCTACTGGGAAGCGTTTCCAGTAGAAAATACAGTCTGCTGAGTTCCATGCTTTCAATTTCCAGGAGATCAATTGTGGCTTTTCTCATTTCTTCCTGAAAATTTAAATTACATATTTAAAAAGTTAAAGCATTAAAATAATAAAATTGATTTCCCAAGTAATGCCCTATTATAAATGTTTTCAGAGATTAAACTTTGATTTGCATCCAATACCTTCTGCTCTTATTTTTTCTGGAATAGAAAAATAACTATCCCATAATCAGTTTTTTAGGTGTCATTGTTCATTTATCTTTTAATCTTTGCAGATTTTCTTCTCAGAAATCATCTTTCCCTGTTTCTTGCCTGCAGTTTCAATCAATTTAAAGACTCCCACAAAAAGGGTAACTCTGAGAAAAAAGTTCCTTAATTGAAAAATGGAAAATGCCTCTAAAATATGCTTAGGTATAAAAAGAACCATGTTTTTTTTTTCTTTTTTTTTTAATATATACCTACAAATCTAAACAAACAGTCTGGTGGGGATTTTTGTCCTTTTTTGGTGGGGCTTATTTTAAAAAAAGAAAACCATCCAAAAATGTTAGTGGAAAAAAATAGATAAATCATCTCTTAAACAAAGGGTTGTAATGGATATAGCTATTCTATGACCTGAGAAATTCATTATAAGAGTAATAAAAAGATTACATAGTTATATATATAGTATGATTGCTTTTCTATAAAAAAAATAAAATTCAATACAGGCATATCTATTCCCTGAAAGTAGGAAAAGCATTCAAAGAGTTAATTATGATTATTACATTAATTTAGTTTATTATTTTATGATTATGCTGAGATCACAGTGGTTTTTACTTTCTTCCTTTTACTTGTCTATTTAAAATAGAATCCAGGGTAAACTTTCAGAATAGTGAAAATTTGTTACTTTCAAAAATGGAGATTTCACAGCTCAGATATTGCATGGAGGCATACTAGATATTTCTAAGAAGCAACGATATATATTCTGACCCCTTCAAATCCGGGAAAAAAACGTAACCAAAAAGACAAAGCAGAGGAAAAAGGTTTCCACAGGACCACAGTGTACCACCACACACACAGGCACCCAGTGTGTCCATATGCATGTTCAGTTAAGTGGGATCCTAAAGTATAATGCTGTAGTATACACACACAGCTATATATAATCACAGAAAAATGTAATTATAAAGGAGGTGAACTTTTCTCAGCAGTCTGCAGACTCAAACTCATTTACTTTACGCCACATTTCTACATTTTTAGATTTGATGTGGAGTCGATTCTTACTCAATATTTTATGGGGCGCCTGGGTGGCTCAGTTGGTAGGGCAGCTGACTATGGCTCAGGTCATGATCTCGCGGTCTGTGGGTTCGAGCCCCGCATCGGGCTCTGTGCTGACAGCCAGAGCCTGGAGCCTGTCTTCGGATTCTGTGTCTGCCTCTCTGCCCCTCCCCAGTAGAGACACGTTTGTGACACTTCAAAAGGACATTCTTTAAATATTTCTTTGATGGGGCCAAGTTAATATAACAAAGAGTTGGTTCGTTTTCACTGACCTGGTCAAATAATCTTTCAGCAGTTATGTAAGAAATTGCTTATCAAGAACTGAGTACATTGGCACCATGCATGGTGTGTACATGTGGGGTCAAGCATTTGCCCACGCGGCCCACCCCTTCACTGAGCTCTGTGAGCACCTGTGCTGCCTCTCCTAAGCAGGCCGGCCCCATCCGGACATAGCACGGGTCCTTAAGTCAGTGTCCTGCACCGAAAACCAGGCAATATTCCACAGCCAATGGACTCAGGGGCAAATGCTTCGTAAATTGAGGTAAACATTGTCTTCACTCAAGGGTCATAGTTTCCCTATTCATCTATTCAAGGCACTTGAACTGAGTTGGTGCTAAATTAAAGGTTGATGAAGAAGTGGAAGATTGAAAAAAAATAGCTCTTAGAGATAATACAATACCAATTTCTTAACAGCGATAGCAATGTCCTTAAGAAAGGTCCTAGCTTCTTCGTTGCATTTAAAATAGTCACTTTGCAGTGATTGTTCTAAAAAAAAAAAATTAGAAAATGAAAGACGTCTTATTTGTTTGTTCAAATCCTATTTAACCCTTTAGATCTAGCTCAAATGCCTGCCCGGCAGAAATTATATCTTCTATCTCTGAATTCTTATAATACTTAATATGAATCTCTTTTGAATGTATTTCCTATTTCATACTATTCTAACTTAAGTATATATTTTATGCTTCTTGAAGGCAAACTCCATCTTTGCATCTCTCATGATAGAAAGAAGGAATCTGTATAAAACAGGACAAAAAACTCAATAATACACAGAAAGGAAGAAATATAACATACCTATAATTAGGTGTGAGAATGTTTTCACGTATATATATTTGTGTACGTGTAAATATAATATTTTGCAAAAAAAGAAGCCACTCATTTAATTAACTGTTTAAAAGTCCCTTATGTCATTTGTTTTTCCCTGTGCCAATATTTTAATCCTGGGATGAGAATAAATGTTTGAAAACTGGGTGTGAGATAGACAGAGCTTCTAGCCCTTTTTATTCAGTGACATATGCAAAGTGTCTCCTTTCCCTCACAACTGTAAGTAGGAAGTACATGAAAAGAGAGGCCTGTGAACTGTTAGCAACGGTAATGGTAATGAAGATACGTGCTGAGTGGAAAGAAGGAAGGGAAAAAAAAGTATAAAAGGAAATAGGAGGGAAAACAGAGGAAGCTATACTTACCTTGGCTCTGCGGCCACTGAAGTCACCTACACTTGTCTAAACGAATTCCAGGCCTTCATCTTCATGTGTGAGATTAGTTTGATGGGATTCATGTTTTACATGTATTAGCTAAGTTGATTACTATAATTTTAGCGTGACTCCCATTTCACAGGTGATAAATCTGACTTTTGAGTTTATGGCATATGTTCAAGGTCACAGAGCCCATCACGGATAAGAATCTAGCTAGATTCAACACAAGTAGTGTGACTCGAGTCCTTGCCCTTAGTGGTCTCTACTCTTCAGAAGAGTAGAGAGCAATTTCTGCCCTGAGTTCCAGGGAGCATGGATTCTCTTAATGCACGAAACTCTCAAACCAAGTGAAAATCAGTTACTGAGTTTGCAAACAAGTCTGAGGAAGAGACAGGCACTGCCTGTTACCTCCTTCCCTTTCTTCTAATGTAATGAATGAGCACAAGCTGTTTCCACTTGCAAATAGGCTGGAGAATTCCATATTTGATAACCTACACCTGAGGCTTAATGAAGTTTTTTCCTATAAAAACCTTTCTGGGAGTCCAGAAATTATTCACAGAAAAATATTTGCACAGAAGTGCTGGGGTTAAATGCACATGCAGATCTAGAGATCAAGTATAAAGAGAATTAAAAACCCTAGCTCTATCATTGGCAATGACCTTGGTTGGACACGTGTGACTTATTTAGATCTCTTTGGTGGTTAACATTCTTCATGATAATATTCATCCAAGCCTGTCTCATAGGAATTGTGAAGTTAAATTAGTCATCTAAGAAGAAAAAAGAAAACTATCTCAAAGTAATAGTAACATGATAAAAGTCAGTATGATTACCTTGAACCCATGAGAAGCCGATGTTAAAGTGTGGAGACGCTTTGTTGTTTGGCCTAAATGGTTTATGAGCTAAACAGAAATGCCCTTTCTTGCACCATATCTTACCTTAAACTTAGGTGCCTTGATTACAGGTTCAGCTTTCTAACTGAAGAGGTATTTTAACCTGGGCCTATCCAAGGTATTATGTTTGCATCCACTAAACATCCATGTCTAATTTTCCTTGTCTAATACAACAGGAGCTTCTTAAACACTCCCTTTCTTGTTTGCCTGTTAAATTCTCCACTTTACCACGGCAGAATGTTGGAGGAAGTTAACTTGCAAAGAAAAGGCAAGAAGGGAGAAGCTGAAATTAAATACATAATCTTTTTTCTGTCTGTCTTTTAAGTAGGCTTCAGCCCAGCATGGAGCCCAACATGGGGCTTGAACTAAGGAACTTGAGATCAAGAGTCCACACTTAACCCACCAAGCCACCCAGGCACCCTTGGAATTAAATGCATAAGCTAAATGCAGGTGGGCACCCCAGTCGCAGGCAAATGGCAGTGGTCTGAGAGTTAAAGATTTGCCGGGGATTTGTTAGCAGTCGCTAGTGTGAGCTGAGCCAAGTCACTTTAGTGGCACTAGGGCAGGAGAGCTGAGCCCTGGGGTCCCACCAAGCCTCCTCTCCCTCTCCAAGGAACTTGAGGCGGCTCTACCTCTGCCAGGGACACCTGGGGTTCCCGCGGGCAGGTCCCCACTGAGGGAGGTTCCCCCTCATCCCACCCCGGGCCAACTAGAAGCCACCCCAGCGGCCCCCTGCCCCCCTTCCGGCGCCCGCAGGCTTCTCACCCACAACAAAGAGCTGCTCCAGCGCAGCGGTCGCGACCGAGGAACCCAGGGAGGAGGGGAAAGTGCATAACTCCAGGGAGGGGCCGGTGGAGACGGCTGCCGCCTGCGGCAGCGCCTTCCCGCTGAACCCCAGCTCTGGGGACCAGGAGCTCAGGGCCATATTGCCGCCCCTGCGCTGTGCCCACCAGGCCTGACGCCGCCGGGACTGCCGGTTGCCACGGGCAACAGAGACGCCGAGGCCCCGGGCGCCCCCTGGGAAGGATGCCTCCCAGGTGAAAGACCTGAAGTTAAAAGAAACTTCAACCGCAATAATTAAGCGATCCTGGAGGGTTGGGCCGCTCTTCAGCCGTCCTTTCCTCCTTACGTTTGCATTTCTTTAGATCGGGTCCCGGATTTCTCTTGGGCCACTGGAATCATACTAATGATCACTTCTGAACACACCTCTGTGTCAAGTACTGCAGGAGAGCTTTCTGGACAGGAGCTCGCTTAATTTTCCCAACGGCTTTGTGAGGCAGGTTCATGTACTATCTCCACTTTTACAGTCAAGGAAACAGGCAGGGATGACTAAGGGATCTGCCCAGGGTGACAGAACATAATTTTGCATTTAAAGTGAAGTCCGTGAAATCTCTCCACTATGCTGCAAAATCCTCTTCTAGAACCTTCCCTGTATCTTCTGGTTTATCACTGAGCATATCTTTATCTTCAATCAGTGATTTTCCTCTGCTTGTCAAACTGTGAGCTCTTTTTTTTTTTTTTAATTTTTTTAAAATTTATTTCTGAGAGAGAGAGAGAGCATGATCAGGGAAGGGTCAGAGAGAGGGAGACACAGAATCTGAAACAAGCTCCAGGCTCTGAGCTAGCTGTCAGCACAGAGCCCAACGCGGGGCTTGAACCCACGAACTGTGAGATCATGACCTGAGCCAAAGTCGGACGCTTAACTGACTGAGCCACCCAGGTGCCCCAAACTGTGAGCTCTTGGAGGCAAGGATATTATTCCATTTTCTCCGCATCTTCAAAATTCAGCCCAGGGCCAGGCTCAGATTGAGGGTCACTGTTAGCTCCCCTTTCCTCTGGTTGGTGAGAAATCAGCAATGATGCTTTAACCCTCCTCTTAATGACTTTACGGTTGGCAGAATCAAACTCAGTAACAATGACAACACCTCTCATTTGTTAAATGCTTACTACGTTCTAGGCACCTTTACCGTAACCCATTTAACGTTTAAAATATCTTCTGAGCTAGGTATTATTTCCCACTTTCAAAGGAGGCCACTGAGCCTATGAATCATAGGCTGAATCACTGTGCTATACTGCCTTGAAGACATGGCACACCAATGTAACAAAACTAGTTCTGGAATCCAGGCCTCCTTCCAGAGAGAGCCATATCCTGGCCGTGATCTCTCTGCCAGGTCCCCTCTTTTGCTAGATTCGGTCTGTTGGCATTCAGATCTCTCCCTCTTTTCTTTATGCTCCTCTGTGTGGCAGGGGCTGGAAGCCTGGAAACTACATTTCTCAAATACTCCTGCCGGATGATTTCCTGTGTTACACCGACAGGGGACACTAGTGGGACATTAGCGGGCTGAGAAGCCATTCTGTTCCCGTCTCCAGGAGTGGGAGCCGCTGCCTCCCAACAGTCTGCAACTGCTCAGCAGTCAGGGTGGGCATGGGGGCACGGTGCGGGGCTGTGGCAGCTCTCTGTTCCGGGTTCTTCCTTACGGTCCCTTGGGTTTCTATACCCCTTATTCCTCTCTTCTTTTTTTTCTTTTCTCCTTCTTCATTTTTTTTTTTTTTTTTTGAGACAGAGGGTGGAAGTGAGCGAGGGGCAGAGAGAGAGAGAGAGAGAGAAAGAGAGAAGTGGGGCTCACCCAGGGGGTTATGTTTTACCCGAGCAGGGCTCATGCTCACCCAAAGCAGAGCATGAGCTCACCTGATGTGGGACTCAAACTCATAAACTGTGAGTCATGACCTGAGCCGAAGTCAGATGCTTAATGGCTGAGCCACCTAGGCACCCTAAATTTCTCTCTTCTTGAGCTACCTAGACTGGACCATCCCAAGCCAACCTTTATGCTGTTACCAGAATATTCTTTCTACTACCTCATTTGGACCACATTGCTCCCACTGTCTATGAATGAGGACAATCTCTAGGGGACATTCAGTGTCCCCCATTACTAGATTTGTTTTAGATTTTATGACATTTTATGTCTATTTCCCTTCTTGTTCCTAATCATTCTTTTTCCTGAACATGCTTTCTGAGGTATTTCCAGCTTGTACTTTGACTCATAGTTCCTTCCATGTGGGATGACCTTTACAAAACCCAAATCATCCTTTTTGAAAGGAAATTTATTAACTCCCAAACAGAAATCTGGGCAAGCAACATGAACAGGCACTTCATAAAAGAAAAGAAAAATCCCAAGAAACATATTGAAAGAACATTTAAAGAAGTTATACATTTTAAAGATACATTTAAAGATGGTTGTACATTAAACAAAGATTCCCTACCCCTTGGGCTTCTTGCAGCTTCTAAAGTGCTTGTCTCGAAGTTAGGTTATAATTCTCAGCTTCAGTGACTCCATCACACAATTATTTGTGGCAAAATGGCAGGAAGAGCAAGTCCACTAGTTAATGCCAGATTGTTAGAGAAGCAAACAGATGGATTGGTGCCCCCTGATGGATTATGTCAAACCAGGGGAGCAAGGCATTTCCAGGGAGGGTAGACCATGTTGGTGTTTGGAACAACAGGTGATTAAGAGTTCTTCTTTTCAGGGGCACCTGGGTGGCTCAGTCGGTTGAATGTCTGCCTCTTGATTTTGGCTCAGGTCATAATCCTGTGGTTCGTGGGGTCAAGCCTCACCTTGGGTTATGCACTAACATCAGGGATGCTTGGGATCCTCTTGCTCCCTCTCTCTGCCCCTCTGCCACTTGCATTTGCATTCTCTCACTCTCTCTGTCTCAAAATAAATAAATATTTTTTTAAAAGAAGAGTTCTCCAGGGACACCTGGGTGGCTTGATCGGTTGAGTGGCCGACTTCAGCTCAGGTCATGATCTCACGGTTTGTGGGTTTGAGCACCACGTCGGGCTCTGTGCTGACAGCCCAGAGCCTGGAGCCTGCTTCAGATTCTGTGTCTCCCTCTCTCTCTCTGCCCCCCTCCCCCCCTCCCCCCCTCATGCTCTGTTTCTCTCTGTCTCAATGATAAACATTAAAAAAGTTTTTTTAATTAAAAAAAGTTCTCATTTCCAACTTTGTCTCTCGACTACTTGTTTTCATCCATCATCGGCAATTTCTTTTTTTCTTTAAGTTTTTAAAAATGTTTTTTATTTATTTACAAGAGGGAAAGAGACAGCGTGAGCAGGGGAGGGTCAGAGAGAGAGGGAGACACAGAATCTGAAGCAGGCTCCAGGCTCTGAGCTAGCTGCCAGCATAGAGCCCAAAGCGGGGCCCGAACCCACAAACCGTGAGATCATGACCTGAGCCGAAGTCGGCTGCCCAACCGACTGGGCTACCCAGGTGCCCCCATCATTGGCAATTTCTTAGGGCTAGACAGATTTGGATCAAATAGTGATGGCATCATTTGCTAGTGGTTTTAAATTGGCTTAGGTAGTTTAACCTCTTAATCTCCACTCTGCATTTGAAAAATGGGATTTTACACACCAGGATTATGAAGCTTAAGCAGAATAATGCTGTCCTTACCACAGACCCCATGCTACTTCCTATCTTTTCCTTCTACTAAACAGAAAATAAAAAACATTTCTTCTGAAATACAAATGCTAATGTCCTCTCTGTATCCCTCACCTTCCTTAAACCTCTTGGTCATTCAACCATTAGTGAAAATTAATTCAATTGTAATTAAATCAAAAGTTGCTGTCCCAGAGGTGGGAACTTGGTTCTGTTTCCATGTCGTTCTACTGGATGGCAGTGACTGCCTGGAGTGCTCAGTTAGGGAGGGTTTTGAGGCCAAACATTGGCACAAACGGAAGGAGCCTGCCGGGCACCAGAGAAAGCCACGGGCACACATTTGTCAGCATCTGACTCACTGGTTCACATGTTGGTTGTGTGCTTGCTGTGTGCTGGACATTGTGCGAGCGCTGAGCACATACAACAGAGTCCTATAGGTGGCATCAGGGAGGGCTTCTCCTAGGAATGGAGACCTAAGCCATGAGGAGCAGGAGTCAGGCTTCTCTCATTACTCTCTTAGTGAAGGAAAATCAGGGTTCGGAGAGAGAGAACACGAAAAAAGTAAAGCGAAAGATGAAGAGGAAGGGGAGAGAGTAGAGGTAGCAATCTGGAGATGTCAGCTGTCCATCTCACAAGATCCACCTTTCCTTTTGTTATTCCTGGTTTACTTTCCCTGATGAATCCAGATCAGCTGGGCATGGTCGCATACCAACACTCTAACCAGTGCTTTGACTAAACACATGGATAAGATCTGGCGCCTGTTCTCAAGAAAATGGCCCTGAAGTTAGGGGTAAAGGGTAGCCTTCGAAGTACAGTTCATGACCAGGTGTAATCCCTGTATGGTGCTGTGTGGCATCACACCTCCAGAGCATTTTGTGCTTTTACAAAATGTGCAGTTTATAACTGGTGCCATGAGTTATGTAGTCTTTATAATTCTCCTGGGCGGTTATTATGATTGTCTTATTTTTCAGAAAATCCCACCGAGATGAGACTCAATCATCTTGGGGATAACCTTGGGACAATGACAGAATAATCCTTCCGACTCAAGATCTGAGACACATTCAGCTCTCCCAGAGCTGCCTTGTGACTACCCAACCAGGTCAGGGGGCTGGCACTGGGCTCAGGATGTCAGCAGAGTCATGGAGTATGGCCGATGATCATGGGGTGCACGGAGAGGGGAAGCAGGAGCCCCGCCAGAAATCTGGGTTGTGATTTCACTCAAAGCGCCTTGAATTCTAAGCGCAGGAGTTTGGATTTTATGCTACCAGTCATGCTGCTGGGAGAATGTTGATGGAGAACAGATTAAGCTGTTCCCTGCTGGCAGCTGCTTGGTAGTTCGGTTTATTTCTGCCTAAGGTAACATTTTTTGGTAGACAGAATGTCATTATTAATTACAGGCTTTGTGATATTTTCAAGTGAGCATCTGAAGAATAATTAGAAATTAAATTGGGCCTGAAACAACAATGTCATATTTAGCAAGAACGTCTTTATTATTATCTT